CATTGATGGTTATCTTCCTAGCAGTTTGAGGTGGCTTGAAATTAAATCTTATGGTTCCGATTCATTACCAGGAAGCTTTAAACCATCGAAGCTTGTTGGTCTTACTTTGGAGAAAAGTTCTCTAAAAAATTGCAGGATCACTCAGGTATATATTCTAATCTGACTTGCTACATATATGGTGTGTCTTTTTTTTTTTTTTTTTTCTTTTTTCATCAAAAAGACTTTGGACTTATTCTATTCTCCATCTTTTCTTGCAGACATTAGACAAATTGACCCTTCTGGATCTTAGTTATTCCAAGTCTTTGGTAGAAACCCCAGATTTTGATTTGATGCCAAATTTGATGACATTATACCTTGTTGGCTGTCAGAATTTAAAAGCGGTCCACTCATCTATTGGAAATCTTAGTGCGCTTGTTTTATTGGATTTAAGCGGGTGCGATAATCTTGAAGAGCTTCCCAGCTTTAATAAAGTTTCATGTCTCAAGGATCTCGGTCTTGAATCCTGCAGCAAATTAAATAATTTTCCAGAAATTCAGGAAAGAATGCCACATCTAGTGGAGTTGGAATTAAGAGAAGTTGGAATCATAAAATTCCCTTCATCGATCCAGCAATTGGAAAGCCTCACTAAGCTATATTTGGATGATTGTGAACATCTTGTTTGCCTTTCTAACGGCTTCTGTAAGCTGCAAAATCTCAAAGTTCTTGTGATAAACCATTGCACAAATCTGAAGTCTTTGCCAGAAAATCTCCAAGGCTTGATCTCGTTGGAATACTTGAATCTCAATGGAAGTTATTTTGATTCTTTACCTGAAAGTTTCAATCAACTCCCTCGCCTTAAATACCTTGACATCAGAAATTGTGAAAACCTTGAAGAGCTCCCAGAACTCCCAGAATCTACCTGTGAACTATATGCAGATTCTTGTTTTTCCTATAGAAGACACATAGATGAGTTAGCAGACTTCCCGAAATTACAATCAGTAGCATTCTCTTCTTCTGATGAAGTTAAAAGGTCAGTGTATAATTTTGCTAAGATGTGTCTTCATTTTCCGTCTTGTAGAGAGACTCCTTTCAGTGTTACGTATCCAATCTATTCATCAGAGGATGCGTATGAGGATCCTTACGATGAGGTCAATGTCTTGAGACTTTTCCAATATCGATGCTATAAGTCAAATGGTATCGCCATTGATCTCAATCCCGGCTGGTATTGTCAAAGCTTTGTGGGATTTGCGGTTTATTTCCTCACAGGATTAAATACATGGCGATTACACTCCTACAGCGACATTGTTGATGTTGAGCGTTGCACAATCATAGTCAAATTGTCATGCAAAGATAATACAAATGAAGTTCTCGAAAGAAAATGTGTCATTGCCATATCAAGTGATGATTCAGAATCCAAAGGAAGCCTATGCTTTGCCTACATACCATTTAGTGATTTGTGGCCTGCAAAATCTAATAGTGTGACCCCAAATGATTTTTCAAGATTTGAGGTGAACTTTATGGATTCAAAAGCAACTTCAAATTGGAGCTTTATGGATTCGGAAGCGACTACAAATTGGGGTTGTAGTTTGTTATATAAAAGGTAAACATATTGATTTCGGTTCCCCTTCATTTGCCTTCTTTCTTGAACTTTTTAATACTCTGTACTACACATGTCACTTCAATAGTAGCTATAACTTTCCAATTTATTTAAGTTCTCTTTTATTTAGGCCAATGAATTTGTATCAAGCATGCTTATTTATTTTCTAAGATAAGTATTAACTTGTATTTTTCAATTATTGAATAAATAAACACAATGTTTATGCATATTGCTTTTACTTTTTTTTTTTTTTTTTTTTTTTTTCAGGAGGAAAAGACCAGCAAGTTGGGATGATAGTTGTGAAGGTACTCATACTTTACTCCTTTGTACTATTATATTATATATCGTACTACTACTATATTATAGATATTTTATACTCTTAGGTAGACATTTGGTTCAAATTAGAATATCCTCGGTACAAGTCTATAAGATATCTATGGTAATATGAATACTTGAGCATGTATAATTATATTGCATAACTTTACTCGGTTCAAGTTAATTGTGTGAAAACCTTCACTTTGCCATTTAAAATACACACATATACATGAGTATGTGTACTTAATTTCTTTCTGTGTTAATAAGTTTATTAATGTGTATATAATTAGATATATCTATATATTAATTAGGACATTGAACAAAAACTACAAAAAAATGTCTCTTTGATATCAGGAAGCACAACGGATATAGGACCTTTCCCCAAGTTGGAATACTTGAATCTCAGTGAAAAGAAATTTGAACATTTACCTGAAGACATCAGCCTACTCCGTCGTCTTCAATACCTTGACATCAGTGGTTGTAGAAGACTTAGAAAAGAGCTACCAGAACTCCCGCCTACTATAAGAGAACTATATGCAAATTCTAATTTGGCTTCTGAAAACAACATAGCCGAGTTAGCAACCCAGTATTCAGAATTATATTCTGTCTCATTCTCTTATCCTATTCATGAAAGCAACATAGCTGATTTAGTACCTGGGGAGTTGGCTAAGAAGTTTATTCCTATCACACAGCCTTTTCTAAATAGAGACACTCCTTTTGTTGTCACCTATCCTATTGACCCTTGCTCTGATTATAATATCAGTAGATGCTTCATGTATCCTCACCATGATCCTCACCATGATCCTCACAAGATCTCCATTTCTCTCGATCCCACCTGGTATAATCATAACTTTGTGGGGTTCGTTGTATGTTTTGTGTTTCCATGGGAAGTGAGATGGGAGTCACAACCAAACATTCGCCCTTTTAGGCATTGTGAGCTCATAACCAAACTCACACGCAAAGATAATGGAAGTGAACCTCCTCTCCAAACCAAATGTGAGATTCACAGACTATATGATGAGGAATTTCACGACTCTGTGGATGAACTTGTATGTTTTGCCTACATACCATTTAGTAGTCTGTGGCCTAAATCTGATGAGGCTATCATGGATAATATTACCCCCAATCATTATTTGGTATTCGAGGCGGCAATTCAAGACTTGGAAATTTCAAGAATTAAACCATTTTGGTGTCCTCAATCTATCACAGATAATGCTACCCCCAATTGGAGTTGCGGTTTGTTGTATACAGATGATGAATCATTAAGGTAAACATATTGGGCTTGAAAAATTATCATTTATCCTTTGAAATTCTGATTTTCGATCTTTTAAGTTTTTAATGCCACATACTCTTTTATGTTCAGTACTTTTTTGTAGTTTTATATTTTATTTAGGCTAAGGAATTATATATTTCTCAAGAAACTGACAAACTTTTGTTGTTCTTTCAATTACTAAATAAAAAAAAAAAATGCTTATGCATTGTGCTTCTACTTTTTACAGGGAGGCTGGTTGTAGTGAGAGTGATTTAGGTACTCATACTTCACCCAAGCTTTATATTATTATACATATTATTCTAAATTATATCACATATATTTTTATATTCTTTAATATTTTATATGAACACCTATCCAAACAGCCAAAAAAAAAATAAAAAAATTGACAAACTCTACTTTGACAATGCTATTAACAAGTTTAACCATATCTAACATTGCCAATTGTTTTTCCTTTCTACTTCTGATTTCTTGAGTTTTAATTTAACTTTCTTATAAAAGTAATCAAACCACCATTCTCAAAGAGAACTAGATTACACAATTGTTATGGTTTATGATTTTGAGACGCATTTTCAACACTTTATAAAGTCATATCATTAATCATTTATCTTCTACTCCGTAATTTACTACTTTTCAATTTGACTTTAAAGTCACTATTCACAACAGAATATCCAAGAGAGAAAAAAAATAATGGGAACATGTTAAACATTTTATTAAATAATAGGCATAGACTCTGGTCTAAAAGTTATATTTAATATTGATGATGTAGAAGAGGAAGAGGAAGAGGAAGAGGAAGAAGAAGAAGAAGAGGAAGAGGAAGAGGAAGAGGAAGTGGAAGATGAAGATGAAGAGGAAGATGAAGAGGAAGAAGAAGATGGCGGATCACAACATACAGAAGATAGTGGTAGAGATGATGCAATGGCAGAAAACACTAATGCAGGTACTTTATTCAATAGTCAATGGACCATTTATGGTCCAACTAAAAGTCAAAAGATAAAAATTGATAAATGTCAATAGTCAAGGGACCATTCTTGGAATTAACTCCACCGTTAAATCTAATTGTTTTGTCATAATTGGAATTAAAATTGTGTTAAGTGCAATTGCATTGATGGTTGATACCTCATACCTTATTCTTTCTCTGTGTACTTTTACAAATAGTTGTAATTTAACTCCTCTCTTTTATCTTTTAGTTTTGCTTATACATTTTGCAATTTTAAAGATTCTTTAATGGCCTGTTTGGTTGGACGTAATTTGGCTGTAGTTGAATTGCAATTCAGTGGAAGCTATAATTACACTGTTTAGTTGGAGGGAATTGCAATTCCCTCCTTTTGCTGAATTGCAATTCATGGGCACCCCCATGAATTGCAATTCGGTGGTTGTGGGAAAAGGAAAAAGGGATGAAATGACAAAAGTACCCTTAATTATTACTACTATTATTATTATATACAAGGACATTTTAGTCTTTATATTACTTCTTTCATTCCCTACCCAATAATTCTATTCATCCCTACCAAACAATGTAATTTGAATTCCTACTTTATTCCCTCCTTATTCTTTTCCCACCGAATTGCAATTCATTTTCACCCTAATTCCTTACTCCCAACCAAACGCCCCGTAAAAGTTTTTTTTTTTTAAACCTATTTACTTTGAGATTAAGATAAATTAGTATGATAATAAACAAAATTTAGAAGTAAATTGTATAAAATAAAATTGAAGAAAACATAAACAGAGTAATATAATAGAAATCAAAATGTAAGGAAGCTGAATGAATTATTATTGTTTCTATACATCATAACATTTATTTATTAAAACTGCTATGTTTACATTCTCAAACTGCAGAGAGTGAACGGAGTCCTGCTAATGAAGATTGTGAAACTGAAGAGAGATTGGCGTTGACTCAACTTGAGCTAGCTACTGGGGAAGCAGAACAGAGTGAACAGACTCCTGCTAATGAAGACCGTGAAGCTGAAGTTGAGGAAAATCAATGTGCGCTTATATGGTGTTTTTGGCAATGTTGCTCAGTTGTTTTACAGGGCATTCAGAGACGTGGTAAGTGCTTTACTAGTGGAATTGCAATTTGAGTAGTATTGGAATGTGTTTGCTTTGTTTTTGCTCATTTTGTGGTGTCGATTTTGCAGGGTAATGCTGGTGTCTTTTGAGGTGTGTTTGGAGTACAATGGCAGTGTTTTTGCTATGTGATTGCAGGGTGTTTTGCTCTCAAGTGTGGTTGAAATTTCAAGTGTGTTGGCGCTATTTTTGCATTGGGCTTTGTAGCATGTGTGATATCTGATCTTCCACCATTTCTTTCAATTCAAAGGTTTCTGGTGTGCTTGGTTATGAGATTTTGTTCTTATTAATGTTGGCATGTGGACAGTAGGTTATGTAATCCTTGGACTTTAGCCTTGTAGTTATGGCATTGTTTGTTGACGATTTACATTCGTTTTTAAATAAGTGATTTGTGTGTGAATTTTATCATCTCTATTCTCTATTTTTTGTTATACGAACAAAGAGTAAGGAGTAAAATTGTGATATTTTTTGTTAAATATTACAACTTAATATGAGATTTTACACGATTACAAGGTTATGTTTAGAGGTGCTTATGGACCGATTCAAGATCGAACCCATCCTGAATTGACCCAAAAAAACAGGTCGGGCTTAATCCAAACCTGAACCGACTTATAGAAGATCAGTTCAGGTCCTATAAAAAAAAAGTCTAGTCTCCAGGTCACTAATTATAGAGATGTGGCACTAATTACATTATTGTTGAGATATTATTTTTAAAAAAATCGCCAAATTCTAACTACTTATAGAGTAAATAAATTTTAAGATATTTTTTTAACTTTTTTTCATGATTTGTAGCCATCATAATTTTTGATTACCTATCAAAGTAATTTTCTTTCCTAACTATTGGTTTTAATATATTTTTATTTCCTTTCAAAAAATATATTTATTTATTTATTTTGCAATTTATTTTTGTGTTCGAATTACATATTTGTGTATGAAATTATACTTTAGCCCTTTGAATAGTAGGGTCATCCTCCCCCGGTGACCAGTTTCACGGGATTGTGCATGCACCCATCCAACTACATGCACTGAACCTGGACATTTATTGCGTTCAATTCTGTACACAATTCTTCATTCCAAATAAGACATCAGCAACTCATTTAAAGTAATAATTGAATTTTGTTCCAATATATTAGAATAAACTCAGTAAATACTACTTTTATAATTTTTATTTCACTTTTTACTCTTTAATGTTGTAACATAGTCTTATATATAACAAGTTTGGTTTAAATATTTGTTGTATGATTCGAAAAATAAACTTAAAATGAAATAATATTATTTGGAATATGTTTATATGTCGTTTTTGGATTTTTTTTATTCGTGAGAATATTATTGAAATATTGATGAGATTTGAAAATGAAAGGACATGTATGTCAAGAATCTTTTGTGCCTAAATTAACCAATTCACCACGTACAGTTTTGATCATATTCCCAAACAAGTTAATACATAACATGATAACATCTCTAATCTTATTATTTTACGGTGTTTATTTAATTAATATTTAACTAATTGTAATAATATCTTTAGTTCCTACGAATTTTTAATTAATGATATTAGCTTCTTTAAAAAAAAAAATAATAAACTTTTTTGATTTGGGCAGCATGATATAACCGTACGTGATCATGACATTAAATTTAAGATTGAGAATGTGGATATGGTGAAATAATTTAGCTACTATTATTTAAAAAAAAAAAATCAAGGCCCCTGGTAAAAAAGTATTATTAAATCCTAATTTTACTTGTTTAGTTAGATTATTGTTATTTGTTAATTTAGTGTTGAGTGCTAACTAAACTTTTATGTGTACACTTATTCATATTTGGTGGTAACTTGAACTATAAAATGATTTTTTTACATTGAATTACAAATTAAAAAAAAAAAAACCAAAAACAAACAAATTATAATGTTCTTGTTTGACGTTATAAAACAATCATGATTGTCCTATTTAGAACAAGGGCAACCTTTGTTCCCCTCGTCTACTTTGGGACAAAGGGTTGCTATAGCCCATAGTCACCATTCGTCGTCTCAAATTAGACAATGGCAACCATGCCCACCTATCGTTGCAGAGTTGATAAAGGTATTTATTGTTGCTCTTGTTTCAGATTATAGATTCAAATTCAATAAGACAATCATGATTGTCATATGATGCTTGCTGAAGATAATGTTTATGTTCAGTGTTTTGATAGAGGCAATGTCTAGTTCAGTTCATATCCCAAGTCAACAGCACATATGCATAAATGTAAACTAGAAGATTAGTCGATGTCAAATTAGCGATAACTTAGTGACATGTGGGATTATGACTCAATACATATAAATTTTTTTTTAAAAAAAATGTTTATAGAACTTAACACAACCCAATTGGTCAACTAACCCAAAATAAGTTGAGAAGTTTTACTCTACTAATCGTTGTGCAAGGTGCACTAATGTACACGTATTTGGGGGTTTGTCAGTTGAGACACATCCAATTATTTACGTTCTTCATCCATCTTCAGGAGAAAAAGCAGTGATGAGCCTTTTAGTTTGATGTTCAAGCTTATAAAGTAGAATGAAATACGCTATTAAGGCATTAATCTAGTAGATAAGATCATAAGAAGTCGCACTTAATAATTGCTTTTCGTGGGTTCCTTGTGTGCACAAATATATATTCAAAGCTAGATTTGTCATTTGTATGGTTTATTTTTTTATGGGCTTGAAGACAGATTCAGGTGATATAGGATATATATATATATATATATATATATATATATATATATATATATATATATATGTATGTATGTATGTATGTATGTATGTATGTATGTATGTATGTATGTATGTATGTATGTATGTATGTATGTATGTGTGTGTGTGTGTGTGCGTGTGTGTGTGTTAAATATGCTTTTAAATTTTATTAAAAAATCAGTTAGATCATTTATCATCGTTTACAATATAATAATTAAACTCATAAATATATTATTTTCAAACACTAAAGCTCAAAAATTGATTGATAATATGTAATTACATGTTATTAGGGTTCTCACCATGACTTTGACTCTGTGTTGGCAAACCTAGCTGAAAAGTTATAAGCTAGGAGCTGAAAGCTGAAAAGGAACTGAAAGTTGGAAAGCTATAAGCTCGGAGCTGAAAACTGAAGAGCCGTTAAGCTAGCTGTTATGATTGAAAGTGTTTGGTAAAATTAGTTTTTTGATAAGCTGATAAATGTAAAAAGACTAAAAAGGACATCTTTATAAAATTTAAATTAGTTTGTTTACATATTAAAATTTAATATTTTGTCTTTAAAAAGAATTAACATTTTAAAATAAAACTATTAGCATAATCATGATCTAGCATATCATAATAAAGTAGTAATATTGTTGCAAATCTCATAATAATAATAATAATAATAATAATAATAATAATAATAATAATAATAATAATAATATTTGCGGTGAAAGTTGTGGATAAAGGAGAAGAAAAAAGAGTTTTAATTGGAAAGAATAAATTATGTCATTTCTTTAAAATAGTAAGGATAAAATGGAAACAAAGTTAGGAAGCTAGGAGTTTATTTTGAAATGTTACCTAAGGTAGCGTTTCAAAATAAGCTCTTATTTTAGAAACATTACCAAACAGAGCTTATTACTTAAAATAAGTTATAATCTCCTATATAAGTCCTACCAAAACAAAATAATGGAATATATTTAATAACATTTCTTAGTATGGTAAACATTATCGTAGTACATCTGTACCATCCAGACAAGGTAGAATTTAGAATTTCTCATTTTGTGATGATGAGATGACGGCATAGCCGCATAGGATGTCATACAGACAGGGGCGGAGTCATTCTTGAATCTCCGCCGCTTGTTCTTGTCCCATAGCGATTAAAATTCCATTTCACCATTGGTGGGATTTCGGCCACCATCTATCTCTAAGGAGTAAGCCGTAAGCGCATTTTGACCTTTCTCTCTCCCACTATCTTCTTCTCTTTTCAATTTTTTTTTTTTTTTCACCCGTCTCAAAAGAAAAGAAAGAAAAGTAAATTAAATGAATCTACTCTCAGGGGTCTAACTAATCTCGTGGAGCTCTGGAACTCGATGGCTGTTATGGACGAGATTGGAGTCGATAGGTTTGATTTCTGATTCTCTCCTTTGCAAGTGTTTCTGGAAAATTTATCCCTTTTTACTCTTACTTTTTTCTGAATAGAATTCTGTGCTTTTTATGCCCTAAAATCTTGATCAGTACTTTTTGGTTTCCAAATTCCAAGAATTGCAATTCAAAGGTTTTCTAGTCTGAAAAGTAATCATGGGTTCCTCTTAAGAATTTCCCTCAGCTAGTATATGGGTGGAAATCAAAAGGGACACTTTCCCTTGATTTTCTTGATTTATTGGGTATAATCAAGTTCGGAGCTTTGATTAGAATCATGGGTTGTCTATTTAGTGTCTGCTGATAACTGTTCTAAAACATGAATGCTTTATGAATGATAGGAATCCTGGTGAAATATTTTGTTTATTTGTTTTTATTTTGTGAATTTTGTGAATATGGATTGTTTGTGTATTGAGTCTGCTGAATTGAATTGCACTGGTAATTGGTGACTATGCATTTGACAACAGTTCGGATATTGAAGTTGATGACATAAGGTGCGATAACATAGCCGAGAAGGATGTGAGCGATGAAGAGATTGAGGCGGAAGAGCTGGAGAAGAGGATGTGGAAGGACCGAATCAAGCTCAAGAGAATCAAGGAAAGGCAGAAGGTTTCAGCCCAGCAAGCTTCGGATAAGCTGAAAGGGAAGCAGCCCACGGATCAAGCTACACGGAAGAAGATGTCGAGAGCTCAAGATGGGATTCTCAAGTACATGTTGAAGCTCATGGAAGTGTGCAAGGTTCGGGGGTTTGTGTACGGGATCATTCCCGAGAAGGGAAAACCGGTTAGTGGATCATCTGATAACATCAGGGCGTGGTGGAAGGAGAAGGTGAAGTTCGATAAGAATGGTCCCGCTGCTATAGCTAAGTACGAAGCAGAATGCCGTGCCAGGGTGGAGGGAGTCGGGAATCTGACGGGGAACTCGCAGAGCGTTCTACAGGATTTACAAGACGCCACCTTGGGGTCACTTTTATCGTCTTTGATGCAACACTGCGACCCACCTCAGAGGAAGTACCCGTTGGAAAAAGGTGTCCCGCCACCGTGGTGGCCAACGGGGAACGAAGAATGGTGGGAAAAAATGGATTTGCCTACGGGCCTCACTCCACCCTACAAGAAGCCACACGACTTGAAGAAAATGTGGAAAGTCGGTGTTCTAACTGCTGTTATAAAGCACATGTCACCCGATATTGCAAAGATCAGGAAGTTAGTCCGGCAATCAAAGTGCTTGCAGGATAAGATGACGGCTAAGGAGAGCTCGATTTGGTTGGGCGTACTAGAAAGAGAGGAAGCCCTTATCCATCAGCCAAGCGGCGACAATGGATCTTCTGGCATAAGTGAGGCACCCACTAGAGGCCGCAGTGAAAAGAAGAGACCTTCGGTCAGTAATGACAGCGATTATGATGTTGACGGCATTGATGATGGCCCGGGGTCCGTTTCATCGAGGGACGAGAGTGGAAACCAGGTATTGGATGCTGTTCCTAAGTCTCGTCAAATTGAAAGGCCAAAGAGACCCAAGAGACCAAAGAGGGCAAAACCAACCCCTTCTGTTCAAGAGACCCCGCCATCTCTTAATCTTAACGATAAGGAGCATGGTGATGAGCCGGGTGATCCGTTGCCCGACATTAACGATTCTAATACTATGTTAGCTGTACACTCGATGAACGAAAACCAAAAAGACGGGTCCCAACCAGTGAATCCTTTGGAAAAAAGTGGCGAGGGCCAATCCCATTTACCATCAGGTGAGTCTGATCATTCCATCATTCCATCTGCTAATGAAGTGTCTACACAGATTTCTGGCAAAAGGTCTAGCGTTTATCCAATGTCTCAAAATTGTGAGATTGTCCCGTATGAATCAAGGCCACAACTGGGTGCTTCAGATTGTGCCATTCCCCATCAAATTCAAGATAGTCAAATATTTAACGGTCAGCAGTTTCCAGGAACGAATGATAGACCGGGAAGTTCAATGTTTCACTATGGACCTCTAATTCCAGAAATGCATCATGGGTCTCAATATCCCGACTTGCACCAATCCCCTCTCTATCAATACTACAATCCATCTACTGATTTTGGGCCCACTCGTGATGAAGAGAGGTCTCGTTTAGCGTTTAATGACCTTCAGATGAGGCCGGATAATTTTGGAGTCCATTCAACAGTGGTTCAAAGTACAGGAAACGATGTCAATGATTATGGAAAAGACCCGTTTCAGAATGAACAGGATAGACCCGTTGATGTGCCACCAATGATGACAATCACAGATAACTTTGAACCTCCAGTTACTAGCGTCTCTCCAGATTATACAAGACTCAACAGCCCAATAAGTTTCGGAATTGACGTGCCAAATGCATTTGACACCGACGTTGAAAGTTTCCTTGATGAGGACTTGATGACAATAATGACATTCTTTGCCTCTTAAGTAGTCATTTTGATCTATAGAACGTCCCGAGTGTGAGTGCAGCATATCGTTTACTCCTTTACCTCTTCTTCTCTCTTAGGGGTCGTTTGGTTCACGGAATGTCAGATTACCTTAGGGAATGTTAGATTGCTGGGAATGTTAGATTACTAGGAATGTTAGATTCCTGTGTTTGGTTAAAATTGGGGTATGTAATATAATCATGTTTGGTTTAGGGTTATCTTTTATACACACTATAATATCCTTAACATATTTTCATATATTTTAATAAATTTAAAAATTAAAATAAATAAATAAGATAACGGTATCATATATAATTACATGATTTTAAAATATTAACTAAAATCTTGAACTTGAGAAACAAAATTATTTTATATGTTAACATAACATAATAAAAATAAAAATATATAATTACAAAAATAATTATATATATATATATATATATATATATATATATATATATATATATATATATATATATATATATATATATAAAATAAACTAACATAACCAAGGTTATCTTACATTACCTAAGATTTTGAAGAGAATCACATTCCCTTCAAAATCCTATGTGGAGGGAATGTGACATTCCTTGGGAATGTTAGATTCCCTAAGATAATATGAACCAAACACCGGAATGTGAGCTTTGGAATGTCACATTCCCTTGGTTATGTTATATAACCTGAACCAAACGCCCCCTTAGAGTTAATCTGAACTCTGAAGCATCTTATATCAATGCCCGAATGCAGGAGATAGAGAATGCTGAATCTATTGCTAGTGCCTAGTGGAACGAGCCATTTTCTCATAGATTGAGGACCTTTTGACTGTAAGGTACTAAAATATCGTTTATTACCAACAGTCGTATGTAAAGTTAGGGAACTCATTGTTCTTTTTCTCTTTCTGTTTACATTGTGAAGGAAAGTGCTCCGATGTAAAATGACTTAGATTCTGAGTTTGGCTAGGGTGCATATACTTTTTACTTTCTGGAAATGGGATAAGAACTCCCTAGTGATCATGATTACACACATTCATAATTGTTTCATTGTCTGTGTTCTAGTATCCATTTTGAACTTGCCGAGGTTGAGTGCACATTATTGCCACAATAATCTTGAAATTCTTTCTTAAGTGAAGCTCTCTTTATCTTTATGCCACTGTTTGCAGAGCAGTAGATTTCTTGAATCTGCAAACTGTGAATATATATATCGCGTTACCAGAATCAGATGAAGCGAAGATTTTAATTTCCCATTTTCTGATTTCTTCCCAGGATTCTTAACCTCCCATCAGAGAAGGGCCTGGTGCTGTACATGCTGAAGATCTCGATTCAAACCATGAACCGAGCTCTTTCATGTGTTGTATATGCAGGAATTTCTGGGAATATGAACACCATTTGTAGGGAAGATGACTTGCATGTGTGAAAAAAACAGGAAGGATTGAAGAAAGGGGATATGGCAGAGAATTCTCTGGTACTAAAACAGCATTCTTGAATCTTGAATTCTTGATGATGATGATGATGGAGATCTCTAACATAGCAGTCATGTAGTTCATATTATTACAAAGATGTTTGCTTCACTGTTCCAAACATTAGAAGCAGACAATCACTAGAAAATTGTCTCACTAGAAGCCTAAATGTCGACAGTTCCCATGAACTTGATAGTGAGAGTTTTTGGACACCGCAAATTTCTTGCTTTGCTTTCCTAGAATGGATAACTATTGCCAAATTTTTTATACTATGTTCTAAGAATTGCAGAGTACTAAAAATAAAAAAGAGAATCACAACTCACAAGCAAACAAAATTATTAGATTTATTGGTTACTTTGCATAAATATATCCATATAACTCTAGCCTTGTCACTCACCAAACGTGATTCAAAAAGTGTATTATCTAGCAATTACAATTCATTATAATAACGCATATGTTCATCAAATGTGATTCAAAAAGTGTATTATCTAGCAATTACAACTCATTATAATAACACATATGTTCAAGTTTCAGACTTGAAATCGATCCATTTCAAAGTATTGACTTCAAAAAATTGTATTAGATAGAAATCAGGACTATCGGATAGGGGTGTAGAGCCTTGGAGTGCCTTTTGTGGGCAAGTTCAACAAGAAGCTCGGTTCTTCCATAACATCGGGGGTGGGCTTGCACATATATAAGCTGTTGTTACATTCAACCACTTTATATGTGCTATGCACTGATGTTTGCTGCTTCATCTGGGATAAAAATTTAAAAAAATACGGAATATAATGTATCTGCTAGTCATTAGAAGGAAAAACGGAAGATTTTCTCTAATTCGTTTCAAGTTTATTATAAGATTTCTTATAGCAATATAAAATATACTTGTCAATGGCTATATATACCAAAAAAGAATAGTGTTATATGACATTATTTATGAGACATTAAAATTTTTGTTTTTATATTTATTGTTTACTGGTGAATTAGCTAACTGATGATCTAGTGGATATACTAAACATGGTTATACAACGTCAGCAGGATGTAATGACAAGAGAATCGAAACCGGGGTTTATGGGGAAGTGCTCAATTTGTCAGTACTAGGAATTTTAGTTAAACAACCTTGGACGTAGTTGATAGAACAAACGACAAAGCCGAACCCTTGCTTGTATCTCCAAAACAACAGCATCTTAGATTCTATCATGCCCCAGAATGAAATGGATGGCATCATCACCATTACTCAGCTGGCCCTCCACTCCCATTAAAAAAGGCCAAGACTTTCATCATAGCAATACACAAATGGCAAGTCCATAAAAAAAAAAGGTGAAATGTTGGTCAAGACTGTTGATTTGGTAACCACAGTTCTTAAGTTCGATTCTCGGTGGAAACGTCTACTATAGACAATCTAGGTTGATTTACCTCCTTGTAGTCCTTTGTCTGCTAGGGTCACAAGACTGAGTTTATTCAGTGCACACCTTCACAAGTCGGTTTCCCTTGTCATCTAAAAGTGAAATGTTTTGTCAAACTTTGAATATAGAATGATGATGACTGGGATAATGAGGATGATGGAACAGATTGGAAGATATGTGAACTGCCGTTGTGCTGATATATATACAGCTGCTTTGTTTGTCAGCTCAAGTTCAGACGCATATATACAGTGTTAGGTGTACAGAGTATTGGTGGAAATGGAAGACAAGAAATCATCAGAGGAGAAGAAAGAGAAGTGCTGGTTTCATGAAAAATGGGCATGGCGGCTGCTAGTGCTACTGATTACTGTTCTAGTCATTGCTGCATCTTCTTTCACTCTCCGGCGATATTTTCACCGGAGAAACTCCAAGCCTTCCGTCGCCATTGTTGCCGAATATGCAAGCGCCCTCGGAGTTGCTATGCAGTTCTTCGACGTTCAAAAATGTTTGTGTGTATATATATTTACTGATACATGAATTATCTTAAAGATTAGATTGTTGTGAGTTTTACTGGGAATTTTTAATTTGTTGTTGCAGCTGGTGAGTTGGTGGATAACGAGATTGGATGGAGAGGAGATTCGGGTTTGGATGATGGAAGGGAAGAAAACTTGGATCTGTCAAAGGGGATGTATGATGCTGGGGATAGCATCAAGTTTGGGTTTCCAATGGCGTTCACGGCCACCATTTTATCTTGGGCAGTTTTGGAGTATGGAGAGCATATGAAGATGGCAAAGGAGCTAAATCATGCTATAGATTCCTTGAAGTGGATCACTGACTTTCTCATCAATGCACATCCCTCTCCCAATGTGCTCTTTGTTCAGGTATTCTCTCATACAATTCTAATCAAGTAAGAACTAACATTAACCTACTAATTGCAAACTTGTGAAAAATTACACTGCAACTATTACATGATTACACTGCTAAGGCTCCCAGACATGCCTGAAAGACCTTGCACTGCTACGGCTCCCAGACATGCCTGAAGGACCTTGTGGTGCAATCGTACTCGGGTGAAGGACCTTGTGGTGCAATCGTACTCGGGTGTGGTACAATCATGTAGTAAGTGTAGTGCAATCTTTCACAAGTTCGAAGTTCCCAGGTTAAAATTAGTTTCACTCTCATATCCCTTTCACCGCAGTTTGGTAATCAGAAAAGTTCAAATCTTGGTATAACCCCAACCAAGATGGTCAGATTATTAGCTAAATAATTATAAAGTTACAGGTTTAACTTCAAGTGGGAGCGACTTATTGACCTTTTTGGTTTGAGTCAGTTCACTATAAACAACATATATTAATTTAATAGTTTATCTCCTTGTGAGCTAAGATTAACAATCTAGGCTGGTTTACTACAATACAAAATTTACCTAGTACAAATCATCGGGCAGTAATTATTCAAAAAAAGTTCATATCTTGTCCTAATTGTTTGAACATGAAAGGTGGGAGACGCCGACTTGGATCACAAATGCTGGGAAAGGCCGGAAGCCATGCCACAGAATCGGCCTCTGACGCAGATCAACATGTCGTACCCCGGCACCGACGTGGCAGCCGAAACAGCAGCAGCCATGGCAGCAGCTTCATTAGTTTTCAGAGAAACAGACGCTGAATACTCCTCCTTGCTCCTTAAACATGCCAAAGAGCTATTCGTGTTCGCCGACACGTATAGAGGCTCTTACAGTGTAAGCATTCCTCAGGTGCAGGAGTTTTACAAGTCAACAGGCTATGGAGATGAACTCTTGTGGGCAGCTGCCTGGCTCTACCATGCCACTACTGACCAGTCTTTCCTCAGATATTTGACTGTTTATGGCACCACTTTTGCCAATTGGGGAAACCCATCATGGTTTTCTTGGGACAACAAGTTGCCCGGAACTCAGGTATTGAAAATTTCTACAATGCTGATCGATACAATAGACACCAATGCTGATCAAGAATCATATGTTACCAAGATTCCTAGTACTGATAATTATGCATGTTCTTTATCAGGTTCTTCTGTCAAGAGTGAATCTTTTGGGTTCAAAACCTCAAGATCTTCCCCTTGATATAAACCTCTCTCTGCAGAAGTACAGACAAACAGCTGAGGCTGTTATCTGCAACCTTCTGCCCGAATCCCCAACCGCTACTCCGGACAGAACTGAAGAGGGTAATGCACATGAACCAAACCACACTAAAAAGTTGAATTTTAAATAGATATGAACGTTTTACAATGCAGGGCTCTATTAAGTATTAACCTTAAAATATGAAAATTATTTTATGGATGGTTTCAGGGGGGCTTATATGGTATATACAGTGGAATCCGATGCAGTACGCCGTGGCCTCGGCATTTCTGGCGGTTGTTTACAGCGACTACATGGTCGGCTCCGGGACGCCGGAGATATATTGCAGCGGCGAGTTATTCCAGCCGAGAGATATTCGACACTTTGCAATTTCACAAGTATGCATTATATTCATCGCTAAATCATTAAATTCCCGTATGAACTAAACATTCGAACTTACTTTCAAGGTTGATGTTTAAGGTTGATTACGTGCTGGGGAAAAATCCGATGAATATGAGCTACCTGGTCGGATACGGGGACAAGTACCCGCGGTATGTGCACCACAGGGGGGCCTCTATTCCGGCCAATGCAAACACCGGCTGCACCGACGGCTTCAAATGGCTGAACTCCACCGTGCCGAACCCAAACGTGGCGGTCGGAGCACTCGTCGGCGGGCCGTTCCGGAACGACACGTTCCTGGACTCACGGAACGATACCATGCAAAGTGAACCCACGACGTACAATTGTGCTCTTGTGGTTGGCCTTCTTTCTGGGTTGCTCGGATCTTCCACCGTTGTTGAGTCATTCCGATGAAACGTGGATATCTCCGACGACAAATCTCCAAACTGAAGTGTATATATACATAAAATACATGCATACATATGTCAATAAAAGAAAAACTTTTATCATCCTTTTCACTTGCACAATCATCTTCCATCCTAAGCATCACTTTCTTCTTCACAATCTTCATTCTTGATTTCTTCTCCCATTGCATCATCATCACTCTCACTATTTACATCTTGTGCTTTTTTAGTTGATAGAATTAATTAACTCAGGTGATGATCCGAATTAACTAACTCTGAATAAGAAATGTATGGTTAAAATAGCAAAGGCAAATAGATAGTAAGATTAATGTCTAGGAATTACAATCTATTTGTCTTTACTATTTTATCCATATTTATGTTTTTCAGGATACTCTGGGTCAATTAATTCCATCACCTGTGGTAAATGTTGGACTGTTGCTCCATCTCGCTCCTCAACCAATTCATCATCTTTATACAACAAGCCAAATCGCCAATTTGTAGAAATTACAGGATCTAGACTTGCCTCAAATGCGGAATAATCATTTGGGCTAAAACCTTCTGTCGTCTTAGATTCAGGCCACAAACCACAGGATGGAATGTATGTAAAGCACATGCGGGCACGTTCATTGTCCCCAGCATTCTCAACCGATTTAGCAATAACACATTTTGTTTGCAAGGCTTGTTTATCATCTTCTTTGTGTACCAGTTTGGCTATGATGGCACAATGCTCAAACAGATCACCTTCATTTGAATCCCATATGCAACTTTTTGAAGGAAGAATGCAATAAATAGCAAATCCCATAAAGTTGCTGGTATACCAAGTCGGATTCAGCTTGATAGAGATATTCCTTGAATATTTCCTCTCATAATTGAACCACTTGGATGAGAAATCATAACCATACTCCATAGTTGAAAGGTATAGAACAGTGAAAGTATCCTTTATGGGCAATGGTCGCCAAGAAAAGGGAATACGCTTATCTGGGAGCCGGGGGGTCTGGTCACGGAGGAAGTAGCAAAAGAAAGAAGAACCAGTGACTGAAACTGAATAAAGCTCAGTGTACTTGGTTGGTAGATCTGCTAGGTTGATATTGTAGGCCAAATGAGTATCCAAAGAGAGTTCCTTTATCGTTGCTGGAAGCTCTGGTAGTTCTTCAAGCCTGTTGCAGTATTTAGTGTCAAGGTACTGAAGGCGAGGGAGCAGGCCAATGCTCTCAGGTAAACAGGTGAATCTGTTTCCCCTTAGATTTAAGTATTCCAAAGAGGTTAAGCATCCAAGATCTCGAGGGAGTCCTTCATCAAGCATATCAAGGAAGCTGAGATCTAGCCTTTTCAATGAACATAAACCAGATACACTAGGCAAAACAAAGTTCTGAGATGTAGTAAACCTATGATCCGATCTATCTGAGTGTCCAATGTATAAGTATTCAAGTTCACTCAAAAGTGAGATTGAGGATGGGAGCTTCTGAATAGCATTATCCTTCGCATGAAGCTTCTCCAACTGACGCAAATCACCCAAGTTCTCAGGCAGAGACTCCAGTTTCGGGCAACTTTCAAGCTCAAGAACTTTGAGATTTTTCAATCTACACAAGCCAGTTGGAAGGCATTCAAGATTTTCACATCTAGCAATGCGTATCTTGGTGAGGCCACTAAGATGTTCAACTGATGAGGGTAGCTTTCTAATCCCAACACATTGGAGCTCGAGGACCTGTAGACGTGGCATATTGTTGTGGATTTCAGGAAATGTTTCTAAATTTTGACAAGAATCAAGATCCAGAAATTCAAGTGATTCCATTTGGACGAGATTAGGAAGTTTCTTAAGGTTACTACATCTGCCCAAATCCAACGAAACAAGCTTCTTAAGATCTCCAAGAGATGGATGGACCTCTTTTAAACTCACACAGTCTGAAAGGTTTAGTCTCTCCAAATTTGGCAGCCATTCAAAATTAGGGGTTTCTAACAAAAAGCGGGAAGAGCTGAGATCCAAATACGTCAACTTGTATAAACTCTGTCAAAGAAGAACAAATATCTCTTGGATGATGAAACAAAACTAAAATATCTAAAAATTTTCAGGGCAGAATGACATGTACCTTGGTTATCCTCCAATGTTGGATAGAACTATGCAGCAAAAGAACAGCACCAAGCTTCAATGGTTGAAAGGTGTTTGGTAAAGAACATAAATGATAATATGAGAAATCAAGCCACCGCAGACAACTAGGAAGATAATGGCCAGTGCTGCTCCTGCCCAAACTTTCATGCAACTTTAATCTCTTCACCCTTCTAAAAGTATCAAATTTATAGTTTTCAACTATGAGTATCTTCAATTGTTTCACCCTCTTGAGAGCCTCAATTTTGAATATAATGTTCTCATTATAGCTCTGTAGGCATTCGGATGGGATTAATAGACCTTCAAGCGCGTTCACTTCCTGAAATAAGAAAGCAAACTATGCACTTAAATCATTTTGATTAATTTTGTCTTGAAAATATAGACAATTAGTAGTAGACATTTTTGTAAATAGAGTCATGGATGCAAAAATACTCAGTTGATAGTTCATGCATTAGAATTGATCACTATAGACACAGCTTACTATGGAAATATGCCTTACCATGTTTCCGCCTAACAAAGCTTCAACATCCTCAAACTGCCATACCCTGCTCCTAGGATTCTCCTGACTTGCAATATGCCTACCCATATCTTGTATTAAATCATGCATCTCAATTTTTCCATTTAGGACAAATATAAGAGATCTTTCAATGAGCAAATGTAGAGAAATCACTGGTTGCAAATCACAACTTTTAAGCACATTTACTACATAATCTTCCCTCTTTTTTCTGAAAAAGCATGAAATATCTAGAAAAACTTTTTTGTCTCTGGAATCTAGGCCATCAAAACTTATCTTAAGCTTTGCAAAAATATCATCATTTGGGATCTCCTTGAGTTTCTCCAAGGTGCTTCTCCAAGCAGCAGACTCTAGTCCATAAAGGAAAGAGCCCAAAACTTTAAGAGCTAACGGAAGACCAGTAGCATAACTCACAACTGATTCAGAGAGTTCTTCAAAACCTTTCTTGGGGATTCCCTTGTTAAACGCATGCCAACTAAATAGTTGAATGGCTTCCTGGTCTAACAGTTTATGTACTTCATACTTTTCATCAACTTTATGGGAACGTAATAGTCCCATATCTCTTGTAGTTATAATGACTCTACTACCCCTACCAAACCAAAAACGATCTCCAGCTAATTTCTTTAATTGTTCGAGGTGGTTTACATCATCAAGAACAATCAAAAATCTTTTCCTCCATCCCCCAAGCCTCATCATTATCATCTCCATTCCTTCATCCACATCAGTTATATCCACTGATCTTCCCTTTAGGATTTTCTTTATAAGGGTTGCCTGCAATGCTTCCATTCCAAGTTTACCTTGCTTTTCTCTAATATCTGCCAAAAAACAAGCTCCATCAAATTGCCTAGAATATTTTGCAAAAACAGCCCGTGCAAGGGTTGTCTTACCAATACCTCCCATACCACAAATGCCAATGAATCGAACATCATTCGACCCTAGACTCATCAAGGTACCTATTTCGTGAACTCTAGATTCCAAACCTACAAGATTCTCTTGAAGATCAGACGAGGCTTGATGCAATTGAGTAAATATGTTGTCAATAACTCCTTGGATACAGTTTGTTTCATACCTGAGGAGATTGAACATGAATACATTTAGTGATTTTGTACTCTGATTTAACAGTGACAAAGTGTGGGATTAACACAGTAACTTTTCATCCTTAATTCATCTGAGATTGTTACTTTAAATTCTGATCATGATGTGGCCTTAACTTATCACAATGAACACAGGATAGAATATTGCATATCTAGCTACTATTGAATCCAAGGAAGTAGAAATCAAACCCGTGGTACATATTCTGCAAATCATGCCCTGCAATATTGCTCGCTTCTGTCAAAGCTTTCCTCCACCTTTCCACCTTGGCCTTATCATCCCTGAAATTTGCTTCGTGATTCGCAAATGGCTCCGCAAAACTTCCTGACTGTTTGCGGACTTGCGAGGGCTCCACGTCGTAGAAAATTGGCACCAAAGTTTGGCCGAGCTTCTCTTTGCATTCCATGATTGTAGCGGCTTCGTCCAGACACCATGTTGATGAGGCGTAGTTTCTGGAGAAAACGATGATCGCGAACCTTGAATCGTGAATAGCTTGTAGTAGAGTCGGAGAGATACATTTTCCTCTCTCCAATCGCTCGTCATCTATGAAAGTATAAATTCCTTTCTGTTGCAGGTGATAGTGAAGGTGGCCTACGAAAGTTCTTCGAGTATCTTCCCCTCTGAAGCTCAGGAAAACATCATAAGTCCATCTTCTGGTTGATTGTGAAGCAGTAGCAGAAGAGATAGTAGACGCCATATCAACTGGGAGTTGATGCCTCTATAAGAGAAGAAGAAGACGATCAACAAACTAAATGAGGCGTCGATATGTCCGAGTGGTTAAGGAGACAGACTCGAAATCTGTTGGGCATTGCCTGCGCAGGTTCAAATCCTGCTGTCGACGTTTTGAAAAGTCCAATTTGGTTGTCGTAATTGAGCTCTTACATTTGTATAAGCAACCTGCATCGACGTTTTGAAAAGTCCAATTTGGTTGTCCAAATTGAGCTCTTACATTTGTATAAGCAACCTCCAATTATTATTGTGCAGATTATGATTGACATTTTTGTGTGAACTATACTAATATATTATCATTGTGTAGATCATATATTTGTGATTTTGTGTGACCTATATTAGTATATTAAAAATATATATTATATTTAGAAAATACATTATTTGAGTATTAAAAGTACATTATTATTTTGTATAATGTACTTTCAGTATACAAATATTATACTTTTAGTATATTAAAAATGTATTTTTTGTTGTGGTCTATATGACACTACGTGAACTATTGTCAACATAATAATTTGCCTTCTACCAAGTTTGTAGAACAAATTTCATATTACATTATTACATCTCTGACTTTGAACAACTAACATTTTTAGTCCTTAATTATTGTGCCCGCACATTTAGTTTTAATCTTTTAATTTTGTCATTTTACAGTCATGACTTTCATTTGGTTGTCACAATTAGTCTTTCGGGAAAAAAAAAATCCGTACACATATCGTAACTTATATTTCTATGAGTTACGACATTACATCCTTTGATATTTACGATATTTCTAATGTTTTCGAAATATGAGTTACGATACGTGTAAGGATTCTTTATTTGTTATTTGTCAATTCTAATGATAAATTAACAGAACTTTTAACATAAGACTAATTGTGACAATCAAATGAAAGTCATAGATATAATATGGCAAAATTAAAATAATAGAACTAAATGTGACAATGCCACAATAGTCGAGGACTAAAAGTAGAAGTTGCTCAAAGACATAGATATAATAGTTGGGGATTAAAATAATATGATTAATTGTATGCCACCATAGTCGAGTACTAAAAGTGAAAGTTGTTCAAAGTTAGGGATGTAATATGACAAAATTAAAATAACATGACTAAATGTGAGAATGACACAATAGTTGAGGACTAAAAATGAAATTTGTTCAAGGTCTGAATTTCACTGGACATAAATTGTTGTGTGACTCGTGATTTACCTCTGCAATGAGACATGCAAAATAAATTATAGGTAAGAATAGATAATAGATTTTTTTGCAAAAGAAAAATGTCAATAACAAGTTTTATCCTCCTTAATACTTTTTTTAGTTGAGTCCATCACACAAAATTGATTAAGTTTCTTATTAATACTTTTTAATTGAGTCCATCATACAAAGTCGAGTATGTCACACAAGATGCAAAAGATTTTCATAATATGATTCTCTTTGTTAAAAAATAAAAAAAATAAAAAAAAAATCAAAGAGAGTAGGTAATAGATTATTGAATTGGTCATTAATGTTGAAAAAAAAAATAAAAAAGAGCAGGTAATAGACTATTGAATTTGTCATTAATGTTGAAACAAAAAATCAAAGAGTGGGTAATAAACTATTGAATTAGTCATTAATGTTTGAAAATGGAAAAGATTGCCGCATTATTTTCTTGATTTAATCATCGATGAGTATGATTCACTTAATGTTGAGGATAACTATAAGGATGACAACAAAGAAAAATGTCCTTTGCAAATTTTGGAAGGTCTAATAATGAGAGCAAGGACGAAGATATTTCATGAAGCTGTAAGTGGTCTTATTAAAGGAGTAAGTCAAGCTAATTTAATCAAGAATACGAAGATGGAGTTGAGTTGAAGGCGGTCAATACGATTTAGGCATAATTTGAAGAATAAAAATTGAGCGCAAGTTCTTACCTTAGCAGGGTCAGATTTTGGGCTGTGCAAGCTGGGATGTAGCACATGGCCCTAAATTTTAGAGGTGTCCCAAATTTTAGAGGTTCAATATCTAATTTTTACCTAGCTAGTTTAGAAATAAAAACTAAAAGTTTTTAATTAAATTTAAAAGGCTCCATAAAGAAATGGTAGGAACATTTGTTTGTTATATTTTAACTTGGAGATCAAAAGTTCAAAACTTATGTGTTGTTACAGCTTTGGACATTTCCTTAATTTTTTTTAATCCTTTTGTATTGCGAGTTTGAGCACACTATTATTATTATTATGAGTTAATACCATCTGAGGTCCTCCGAGTATAATGGTTTTGCCACGTTTAGTCCTAAACTTTCAAAGTAACCATCTGTGGTCCTTTGACTTTCAAATTTAACCATTCGTGGTCCAAGTTAACCACCCATGGTCCTTTAACTATTAAATTTTAACCAACTATGGTCCTTTCAAGAGGACCACGACTGGTTAAATTTCGAAACTTGAAGGACCATAGGTGGTTAACTTGGACCACGAATGGTTAAATTTGAAAGTCGAAGGACCACAGATGATCAATTTGAAAGTTTAGGACTAAACGTGGCAAAACCATCATACTCGGAGGACCTCAGATGGTATTAACTCTTATTATTATTGTTGTTGTTGTTGTTGTTGCTATAATTGTAATTTATTCCATAATATGTCTTTTGGCTTTTTCTTTGCACACATTAACATTTTACCACATTATTATTATTATTATTATTATTATTATTATTATTATAAAAATTTATGGTATTGATTTTAAAAGATTATATATGATTTTGATAGGGCCTCATTTATTTATCAGGGCCACAAAAATCTAAAAACCAGTCTTATACCTTAGCTTATAAATCAACATTAGGTGTATTTTTCTTGCAAATAAAAGTTTGAGACTATTTTAGATTGTCCTTAACTCCTTATGCTATTTAATTTGTATAGTCCAAATTAGGCCTAGACAAATCTCAGAAATTTCATGGCTTGCTAAATGATGTGGCAAGAGAGAGAGGTTTTTTTTTTTTTTTTTTTTTTGTTTGTTTTTGTTTTAAGCCTATGTGTATTGGCAACTTGGTACCATTAGACTACAAAATCCTTAGTATGTAAAAAATACTCCGTAATTTAATGTACTGAATTGACCATTCTAAACTCTAGAGAACCTATCTAAATATAGAAAATAATTTTATATACTAAATTGACTCCTCTGAAACTTTTTAAAAATAATTTTACAAACTCTTGTAAAACTTTCTAAATATAGAAAATGATTTTATGTACTAAATTGACCATTCTAAAACTTTTTTAAAGTACTTTTATAGACTCTAAAAAAAATCTTTCTAAGTATAGAAAATAATTTTATGTACTAAATTGACCCTTCTAAAAATGTTTAAAAATAATGTTATTAACTCTAGAGAACCATTCTAAATATAGATAATAATTTTATATACTAAATTGACAATCTAAAAATTATTAATTTTTTGTTTTTGTAATTTAAAACATTTATTCCTATTATAGAATCATATAGAACCAAACATCAATATAAGTAATCATTCCACTTTCAACCTACTACCAAATATGCAAAATATTTTTATCAAAACTCATTACCATTACCAAATATTTGTTATCGATTCTGATGTGCCAACCAAACACACCTAACTGTTGCTTTAGAGTAGAGTAAAAACAATTGAGATAAAAAGGGGTTTAGTGATATATGATTTGCTGAACTTGAGTATCTCAAATACAAAATTTAACCTAATTATACAACTCCATGAAAACTTGCAATTCCTGGAAATTTTGATATTAGCCAAACGCGGTACTCTCTATTCTGTGTAAGCATTCTTTTCTCAAGGTTGACTGCGTAAATATGGCTCTGATGAAGTCTTGTACCTGCAAAACAAAAAATAAATAAATAAAACTGTAAAAACAATGCTTTTTAATCTGTCTTATACGGCATCTTCCACTGCAGTGTGTTTCTTGCCATTAAAGAGTACGAGTATTCACAATAATGAATGAAACGAGTAAGGAATCGATAGGATTACTGCATTTAATCTCATAGTACCTCAGATGATGCAAAACCGCAAATGACAAGTTCACCGTTTTCCCAGGATTCGGTGATGGACTTCAATGGCATGTCCAAAAGATCTAGTGGGATTCAAGGCAACGATAGTCTTGTTAACATCTCACCCCCGAGTCCCAGACCAAGGAATTTAAAAAAAAAAAAAAAAAAAGATCATTGAAGGGAGTTTACCTGCTAGCTTCCTTAACTTCCGGAGGGATGGTATGAGATCGTCAATAGTTTGTATGGGGTATTCCCGCAACTTTTCTCTCTGAATGAGATCCAGAAGGAATTCCAGGAATGGTTGTAGATTTTCAAATAGCAAGTGAATCAAACTCTGAAGCTGTTAAAATGAACCAATAGTGCACAAGTTATTAATGCTGTAAAAATTTATCAACTTCATAGTCTAATAGAGCTTATCGTCAGCACCTGCAAAGTTTCTTCAGCAGCCATATCATCTAAAAGGAGTATGTCCTTTGCTATTCTAGAAAAAATTTCCTCGAGAAACATGCTCATACTTCTCTTGTATGTGGAAGGTAGCATTAAAGACTTCCAAACAATGTGTACTTTCTCAAGTATGAAGACAACCTGATCAAGAACCGGTTACTCTTCCATGTGGCAATAATACTAGGCTAAGAGGTATTAGTGACATAATAATTCACTTATTCCTTGAGCTTACCTGGTCAATACTCAGCTTAGCAGATTCATATTGCTTAACCAGGTGGGTATTTTGAAATCCATCAGCGCCATCAATGGCCTAGGGATAAAGGGATCATAGATTGACAATACATTATCAGCAGCTGCAAAGACAAATTCATGATTATATAAATAGAACTTACCTGTTTTAGGTTAACAATGACAAGTTGAATTTGTCTCTGCAATACTTCTTCTGCCATCATCTGAAATCTTGGGGCCAAATCCACAAACACCGCAAGCTCCTTGATGAAACTGGGAAAGTTTGAGCGATACTGAAACATCAAAGAAAGAACTATCAACAAATCACAAAGATAAATAGTCATGTAAAGCTAGCCAAATAGCCTTGTAAATTTGTATATTCCAATTCAAACTTTTGGTACATCCCAAATGGGGGATGGGGGTGGTGGGATTCAAACCCAGGCCTAAGGCTTAAAACGGTGCAATTTAGCACCAAACTATACCCAAATCCCCCATATAATCCAATTAATTAAAAGTAAATTATTTTATAACTTTAACCATAGCTGAAAACTCACATTAAAGAGATAAGTTGGTCTGCAATATTTTTTTTAAAATTTCTGTTTTAACCACTTGGCATGAGAACCCATTTTGAGGCATTTTGAATAAACTCATCTATCAACAAATTCACACGCACAGGTCAGGTTGGGTATGGATGTGAGATTATTATGTTCACATTGAAAAAAGAGGTCTCTTCTTATTCCTTCTTTCAGGCAGGGGAGTATACAGTTAACACATTATTGCCCAATAAGAAGTGTACAACATTCAACCTCAAGCAGAAGTTTTAAAAATTAATTTCTCCATAATGAAATGGAGAAAGAGGCTGATTTAATACCCACAATGCTATGAGAAAATACAGTTGAAATAAAGTCAGTTCTCAGGAAAAGGTGGGTTAAATATTTTGAAATTGGAACCCAATGTGACATGAGAATTTAGGGTAGTAAACAGCATACATGTCATACAAACACAACACAAGAATTTAGGCAGTTAAAACCATCCTTGCATACCTCAAACGCAAGCCCAAGAATCTCTTGAGAGAGATAAAGACAGTCATTGTGGATAAGAACAGCTGCATGGTTGATGGAATCAAGCTGCTTTTCCAACTTCCATAGTCAGAATAAATGAAAGGAAAAGAAACAGAAAAATTATCACCGCCAATTTCTATCAATTAAAAAAAAAAATAAAACACAAAAAGGGGGGTAATGAGCAACTATGGTTAATTTACTAGATGAAAAGCCAAGTTTAACCGCCTATGAAGAAAGAGAGTTTGTTTATGTTCCAAGTTCTTAAGCAATTTCAACATGAAACTATCTTATATACTAACCTTAACCGGTAAAACAGCTTCATAAAGAAGCAGACAATCCCGAGCAGCTTGATAAAACTCAACTCCCACTCTTGGAGATGACAAGCAAACATCCTGCATACAACAGCATCTATACGATTGTGCTCAAAAGATAAAAGTCTAATATTTCTTATCCAATAAAAATAAAAGAAATCTATTATTTCTTATAACACAGTGGAAGACAGTTTGTTTCATTGGAAGACAGTTTGTTTCTAACTTCTGCACACTAACCTTGAGGGTTTGATGCACTAACTTCATTAGTTGCAATGCTGCTTTGGATACCATACATTTCTCAGATGAAAAAAGTAAATCAACAACATGATCACAGGTAGTGTTGCCATTTTCTTCATCCTTGACTTGAGTTTCCTTCACATTGTCCTGCTGAGGGATATGTCCAGCACAGTTAAAGCTGAAAACTTGACAATAAACTGGTAAAGCACTCAACTATCATATATTTTTTACTCACTTCACGAAAACGGAAATCCGATTGTAGAAGCACATTTCTAGCCTTTGTCAAAATCTCGACTTTCTTCCTTGAAGCAAAATGAACTTCAACATTATCAGCAAATCTGCTCAACCTTTCATCCTTGCTATCAGATGAGATGAATTTCAAATCCTTCAGGATTGTCTCAAACTCAGATGTATGTTTTACAAGTTTTTGAAAGTCCGCAAGTTTGGAAGCATCATCAGGCACAAGCTGGAAGAAGAGGCCACAATATCATGCTTCCAGCTTAATATACAAATGATTTAGTATTGAAGTAAAATAAGAAAAATTATGCATGAACAATGCTCACTTTGCACTTAAAAATTCACAAGTTACCACACACATCTATTTTTTGTCAGCAAGACTTGAAAACAATAAACTGCTATTCATAGCAATAATTCCATAGCTCAGTGAGTGATCTAATAGAACAGATAGGTCACAACAATGTAAAGTAATTGTCTTTAAGAAAATGAAGCGCAATGTGATCAATCTCATAAGACATTTCAATAAAAATTTATTACTTTTTACGGTTACATTGTATTAGTTAAAACTACTTAAAAGTTTTTCCAGAATTCATCTCAAAGACAGAATTTAATTAACATGTCAACACCAAGAAAGTTAAAGCACGCACTAATATTGGCAGGGTGGAAAACATAATTTAGGTATCAAAGAGTATTGAGTCATGCCATTGATACAAACCTTTGACAAAAATTTTGAAACGATCAATTCAGACATCCTTGGCCATGTCAGTCTTCCGAAACAGTGCATCCAAGCATCATTTTGGAAGCACAGTGATTCATTGATAAATTTAACAATTTGACTCAGAGTTGAATACATGGCTTCACCACTTGAACAGTCAATCTGCATGAATGAGGAATACATATTTTATTACTTTGAAAAAGTAGTCCAGTTTTCACTAATTCATGTTGCTGTGAAAGATGTACCTTGTGATCAGTTGAAGAGACTATCCTCAAAACTGAATCAGCACAATGCCCTGATTCCTTAGTTATTTCTTCCACATGGAAAGTAGTAGTTGACCAATCAACTACCACAGGAGTAACAATAGTTTTAATCATTGAATCTGCTATTTTTGCTAGTCCATAATCCATTATGCCGATGACCTAGAATAAAGCAACAGAGCAAAATTTAGCCACATAGGGGAAATCAAATAAAATGTTGAATTTAAAGATTTCACTTCATAATAATTCAAATTTGATAGAAACAATGTTTCTTGTCAAATGAGAAAGCACTCACTTCCATAGCTTTTAAAATTGTTGGGAGCTCAATCTCATGGATGCTTGTGTGATGCTTGACACGAACCGTATGGCCTTCATGCTCAAACCGCACAGCATCTTCTATACATTTCAAAAGAAGCTCTTGTATCTACACATCCAAATGCAACTCCTCTAACCAAAGAATCACAAAACTCAAATAAAAATCATTAACATATCTCCTTCAACTTCATATTCATATTTAATTGAGCTCAATCTTCCATTCACCCAAAACAAGCCAATACACCCAATAGAAGGCATGACCAAATAGCATACTACATCTATTTTTTTTTTAATATCATTATCCCTATATTTTGAAACTTGATGAGCTACTGACTTAATAACAGAATAACCATCACAAGCTCAAAAGCAGATGACAAGACTGAAGAACTTCATTTTTGCATTGCACTTCTGTATAAGCACTATTAGACAAAGAAGACAGAAAAGACTTATTTTTGGTTTTTTTTTCCAGTTGTTTTTTCCTCAATGGTTGGCCTATAAATACATTAGAATTATCATCTAGCATTTTTTTTTTAAACAATTATCTTCTGGTGCAGGTAGTGTATATCTAGTTCCATCAACTGTCTTAATAGGAAACTAAACTGCTATCCAAACATTAAGAAACATAACTAATTATTCTCTAAATAACCAAACTTAACTAATTATGTTTCCAATATATAATATATAATATATAATCTCTTAATAACCAAACAATCACAGTAAAAGCTATATACAAAAGCAATAAAAAAGCAGTAAATAATCATTCAGAAAGAAAGGCTTTTCTTTCCCCTGCAAACTTCTGTAGAGAATAAGAAATCATAATTTTACCTCTTCGAAGCATTCAGTCCACTGGTTTTTTAATAGATCATACACTAGAGGCGGTGGCTTCTCCGTCGGCACGTCATTCTCGCTCACTAGCAGCGCCGCCTTCAAGTCCCTCAGAGCTGCCGCTGCGTTTTCCACATCCCCGGCCTTCAATTCCTCTTTCACAAGCTCCAATTTCCCACTCAATTCCAAAACTACCCCCAGAAACTCGAGAAGATCCCTCTTCTCCCTCATCTCCCTTCGCTTGGCAACGATTTCGTCGATCACGGCTTTGGTAGTAACATCGACGGGCCGGTCCGAGATGAGACGGAGCAAGTCGGAGACTTGGTCCGAGAGGTGCTCGGATCTGGAAACGACGTCGGAGCATTGGGAGAAGAGCGCGGAGAAATCAGTGTGGTGGGAGATTATGTAGTGCCGGACTTTAGACTTGATGTCTACAGAACGGAGCTGGAGACGGTCGATGAGAAGGCGGAGATCCGGTGCGGATAGCGGCGCCGACACGTCGTCGACGTCCGGCACGGAAAGAAGGTCCCGGACGTCGATGGAGTTGAAGAGGACGTCCATCCCTAGCAGGCAGCAGCCGTGTAACGTACTGTCTCTCCGTCTGTCCCTTTTACCACTAGACGTTGATTAGGCCGTAATAGCATTCTCTTCCTTCTATTTTTTTTTTTTTTTTTTTTTTTGAGTGATTACAGAACTCACAAAAACTATCAGGTATGATTCTCACGAAGGAATAATGCTCAACTGGGCCACTGAACGTGATCTAAAAATGCAATTAGATCATTGAATCAAAAAAAAAAGGTACAATTAGATCATTGAACACTCTAAATGTATGTAATTTTACTTGATAGCAGGTTATCATCAATTTTAACAGGTTACCTACTTACGTGGCAGCTGAGTTGACATTTTAAATAATTTTAAATACTTTTAATAATAAATTTTAATTTAAAAAAAAAAAAGACAGGATGGGGCCGTCATTTTTTTATTTAATTTTTTTTAATTATTATTAAAATTTATTAAAAATTAAAAATTATTAAAAATGCCAACTCAGTTGTCAAGTAAACAGATAACCTGCTAAAATTTATGGTAACTTGTTATCCGGTTCAGTGACCATTTGAAACCTTATTCCTTCTTGCAAATAAATATTTATGTAAAAATAGAATTGAAATTTAATAGAAAAAATTACCAAGAAAATTGATGTCATTATTACCTCCACTAAAGCTCGAACTTAGAACCTCTCATATAAGAGTCAACCTCAAATGTCATTAGATCACAAGGTATTGGTTTGATGTCATTGTTTAGTTGGTGAAAAATAAATTACTAGATTAATTCTTTTGTTTAGTTGAAGTTAAGATGGTAAAAAATAATGAGTACAAACTAAAATGCAGTACATATGTTTCTTGGAGTTAAAATGGTAAAAAAGAGAAAATTACACTTTTGGTCCTATGACTATAGCGGAGGTGGTAATTTCAGTTCGTGACTTTTAAAACTAACAGATTTAGTCCTTTTAGTAAGCTTTTTTTGACACATTGAGTCCTTCCGGCTAATTTGCCGGTAGAATGCCGCCGGAATTGCGATTGGAGTTGTTTATTAATTGTTTGGGAGGGGTAAAATCGTTCGTTCAGGCCATAGAAAAGGGGGGTAAAACGGATTCCCATTTCCCACCTTAATCAACCTCCACGCATTACAAGACACAAGACACGAGTACAATCTCCTTTATGCTTTATGCATATATAACCCACACGGCAAACCCTACAAATGCTTAACTTCCATACAACTCCACAAAAAACACTCCACACAAACAACACAAACTCATTCACTATAAAATTCATACAATTCAAACAGTTACAAATTATTCAAACTTACTTCGTTGGAGCGTATTTGGGGCAGAACCCGTTCCAGTCGCCAATGATTTACGCATTGCAGTAGGCGAAGTGAAGAGTTCTCTTTATTCCCGCTTTCTTCCTTCTTCCACACTGTCTTCGCGCTTCTCTGCTGTCTTCCCGCTACTTTCACACAAAATTAGGGTTGCGTGGAGGTTGATTAAGGTGGGAAATGGGAATCCGTTTTACCCCCCTTTTCTATGGCCTGAACGAACAATTTTACCCCTCCCACACAATTAATAAACAACTCCAATCGTAATTCCGGCGGCTTTCTACCGGCAAATTAGCCGAAAGGACTCAACGTGTCAAAAAAAGCTTACTAAAAGGACTAAATCTGTTAGTTTTAAAAGTCACGAACTGAAATTACCACCTCCACTATAGTCATAGGACCAAAAGTGTAATTTTCTCTGGTAAAAAATAATGAGTACTATAGAAAAGGAAGTGAGAGAATGTATTTTGATCAAAGGAGGTGAGAGAATGTATTTTAATCTCTGGCAACTTTATTTTGATCAAAGGAGGTGAGAGAATGTATTTTGATCTCTGGCAACTTTTTTTTCTTACAAGACCGACCTTAAGGGTAAGTGAGGTCCCTTGGCCGAATGTCAAGAGGAGCCCTCTAACTTAGTTTGTTATTTTATGATAAGTTAAAACTTTAAAAAGAAAAAAAAAAAACTAAAAAATTGTATTTGCAAAGATTTAAACAGTACCCATGGTTTCAAAATTATTTATGAATATTAAATTTATTTAACAATTACAATCATTTGATATATTAACTCACTTAATAGATAGATATATAAAAGCAAATTTTAAATTATTTTATAATTAAACTCTATGTAGGAGCCCAAAGCTTGAATGTGCACTAATCCAAAACTAATCTAAAATATTTTTTAAAAAAAAATTAAAAGAATTAATTATTTCCAATTTACTGGTAGAATATTCTAACTCCATTTATTTAAGGGTTGTCCCCTCCATGTTAGGAGGGGTCGATGATAGAACTGGTGGATGATTATTGTAGCAGTGTGGTAACCGGTTGAATGGGTGTTGATGAAGGATTTCCAGGCTGAGTCCATTTCATGCTCTATCTCCTGGGTTGAAACCAGCTCAAACCTCCATTGTGGGCAATCTTTGATCAATTTTTTATACAGCAACTGCAAAATTCAGGGAAACCAGTAAAACAAGCAATGAAGCTGGCTGCAAGGAATGCAGTGTAATGTAAATATGTAATACCTCAATGCTTTGGCGAGAAGAAAATATCAAGGATAGACGAATAGGGAATTTTCCAATATACAGTTCACTTCTGGATAAATATTCTTCCCTCATGGATGATATGAAAGCAGAATTTGGCAAGGCTTCTATTAGGAACTCACCCAGAGACGGAAACGGAACTGCAAGCAGTTTCTCATGCAGAATCATGTTCTGCAAATTAAAACCCAACATTACATATATATATATCAATGGCCTGCCTGCTAATGTTGAATGATCGAGAAAAATAAATTACCCGTCCATTTCCATGGCAGCTGCCTACAATAAACAACTTCAAGCTCTCATAGTTATGTAATTGCATAAGGAACTCCTCTAGTCCAGCCCTGCAAAAACTCCAGAAGCTTTTAGCAGAAAACGAAATGTGAAATTTTTCAACCTTTGGGACATTCCAAGAACTGAACTGAAAATCTGGGTTACATTCACCAGAAGCATTCAAGTGTAGATCAAGTAAATTTGGAAGGTCGATAATAGCACCAGGAAAGCAGCTACTGAAATAGAATAAAGCTAGTCTCTTGAGGCATGGACTTGAGATCTTAATTTGGTCTACTGCTTCACATTCATACAAGTCCAAACTTTCAATACAGACAAGTTTAGACAAAAGATTGTGAATAGGAAAATGATGAGCTTGTTTTAAAAACAAATGTTTGAGAGCAGTGCAAGTATCCAAGTCAATGGCGCATGGATTTCCTTTTCCTAGCCTACAGTCGAATGCTTCAAGACTGGGTGTGAAGAAGATTTCAATCCTCTTCAGCTCTGTTCCACCCTCAATCCAGACATATTTTAACCTAGGATTACGCGAAACCGAGATCAAACTTCCATACGCAAACACTTCCAGAACCTCCAACGCAGGGCATCCAGATAGAATCTTGTTCAACACATTCTCACCCACAACTTGGCACCAACGAAATTTTAATCTCTGCAGATTTGATAGCCCAATACAGCGGGTAAACCTATCCTCAACCCTACACCGGAAAACCTCTAAAACCTTGAGTGAATTGGCAACAAAGACCCGCTCCGGAATAGAATATGCATGATCCGACCAAGGGAAGCAAGAAACCTCAAGCACTAGCTCCGAAACATTCCTCTCAATCGCAGCCGCCAACCAGCGATCCACATTGGGGGCTAACTCCTCCATATTTGTGACAGTGGCAATGGTAATGCGTAACTGGAATTTCTGTATGCAAGCTTTTCGAAAGAGGCATTGCTCCATGATGCCTTCAACGTGTTCGATGAATAGGCGCAGAGGACGTAGAGGAGACAATGTATCTGCACAAAACGCCAATGCAATGTTGGGGTAATTGCACCAGATGCGATTCCACGTCTTAGACAAGACGGAACAACGGACCGCATCCTTGAAGGGAATGATCCACAAAATATGATGAATAACAGATTCAGGCAACCTCGAGAAGTAATCCAATTCCTCCTCCTCGAATGTTCCGGTTTCGTTCATGGTTTAATCTGTTAGCGATGTACCTGGATTGGAGCCAGCATGGAGGAAGCCATAACCTTTACAAATAAACCCTAATAGAGTAATAGAGCTTAAGGAGTTAAGGTAGAGAAGGAGACTGGAGAATTAGAGTACACCTCAAAGAAGGAGACTAGTGTGTTAGGGCAAATTATGTTGTGCATCGTGTGCCTCATGCATAGATACAAAAACGGTGTCGATAGATCGCAAAAAAATGCGTGATTTTAAAAAAATTGTCCAAAACGGATAACGAAGTCAAAAGTTATGCATTGACAGTTTCTACACTTTACAACTATAAAAATAAAACGCGGTCGCCCGGCCGCGGAGGAGGCCAATTGCCACGGCCGGGCGACGGCGGAGGAGGCCAATTGCCACGGCCAGGCGACGGCGGAGGAGGCCAATTGTCACGGCCGGGCGACGGCAAGCGCCAATTAATCGGCGCCTAGGTGCTATTTTTGTAACACGGCAAATAATATATTTTTAATATATTAAAAATATTCATTATATTATTTAATATTCATTATATTCATAGTTCACACAGCTCTGTAAATCAGAAAAATTTGCCAAAAATCTAATTACCAATGTATAATGAGATTAAAAAACATTAATTTTAAAGATGTTAATGGTCGATGATTATTGTAGCAGTGTGGTAACCGGTTGAATGGGCGTTGATGAAGGATTTCCATGCAGAGTCCATTCCATGCTCTATCTCCTGGGTTGAAACCAGCTCAAACCTCCATTGTGGGCAAGCCTTGATCAATTTTTTATACAGCAACTGCAAAATTCAATGAAACCAGTAAAACAAGAATCAAGATATTACCGAAAGGTTGAATCCTCAATTCCAAGAGCTTCCCTCAACAGATAGCCTATCTGAGATAGGCCAAGCCAAATACAGATGCGCCCTACTTCGGCCACACTGAGCTAAGCCAGTGCGGACAACTAAACTGAAAGCTATCTAGCTGCAAGGAATGCAATGTAATGTAATACCTCAATGCTTTGGCGAGAATAAAATATCAAGGATAGACGAACAGGGAATTTTCCAGTATACAGTTCTCTGAATAAATATTCTTCTCTCCTCGATGATATGATAGCAGAATTTGGCATGGCTTCTATTAGGAACTCACTCAGAGACGAAAACGGAACTGCAAGCAGTTTCTCATGCAGAATCATGTTCTGCAAATTAAACGCAACATTACATATATCAATGGCCTGCCTGCTAATGTTGAATTGTCCAGAAAAATAAAGGAATTACCCGTCCATTTCCATGGACGCTGCCTACAATAAACAACTTCAAGCTCTCATAATTATCTCCAACAATATCTTTTCTTTTCATATATTACTGCAGTTTCTTCTACTACAACAATGTTAGATCTTTTTTAATTCTTCCGTTTACAAAGAAAACAAGCCTCCACAAAACCCTAAAACCAACTTATTTCCGACGATGCAAGGTTTTGGCAGATATAACACCAGAACTCGGTGGCTGGAACACACTTTCGATCACTGCTTCTCCATCAATTTTCAATCCGTTATTGGGTCTCCAAAACTTGTCTAGAAATGTCTACTATGATTGCACTAATTGGAAGTGAAGAATGAGATCAATGAAAATTATGTAAATTAGGGTTATTAAGTCAACATGTTGGACCATCTTTGATAAGATAAAAGAAAGACTTAATACTCAATTTAGTTCTTAACTATTGTGGGTTTTTTTGATTTAGTTATAAATGTTTTTTTTTTTGGTGCTTAATTAGGTCATCGATTTTGATGGTCTTATCCAATTGAGTTATCTGTTAAGATAGCTTGATAATTTCACCTCTAATATCTAATTTAATCCTCAACTATAATAATTTTACTTAAATTAGCCTTCAAATATTATAATTTTACCCAATTTAGTCATCTATTATAGTAATTCCTCTTTTGGTCAACTGTTTGAGCATGAGTTAGAACTCAGGATGCGCTCACCATGCATAATTGACTAATTTTGGACATTTTCAGTAAAATTGGTCATGCGATTAACTTGATATCTACAAAAATTCAAAATTTGATTCCAACAGCGCCGGAGCAACCTAATAACTTTTTTTATTTGAGCGGATCAGTTATGAACAACCTAAGTTGATTTATCTCATTAGCTAAGATCATAAAGAGAGGTAGTTTAGCCAGTGCACACTCTCAGATCAGATACGATTGCAAGTTCCTCTAGTCATTTCAAAAACAAAACAAAAACAATCATCTTCACATGGTCTATTCTTAGGAAACCTATTTTAAACCATCCAACTCCCAACCATGTTCAGTTGTTCACCTTCGGACCCATGATTATTGTAGCAGTGTGGTAACCGGTTGAATGGGTGTCAATGAAGGATTTCCAGGCAGAGTCCATTTCATGCTCTATCTCCTGGGTTGAAACCAGCTCAAAAGTATTAAACCGTAGTTTTTCAGCTTTGCTCAAGTTTTTATACAGCAACTGCAATTCAGGTAAACCAGTAAAAACAAGCACTCAAGACATTATTATATATATTGCTCATAGACTGAACTGAAAGCTAGCTTGCAAAGAATATAATGCAATGTAATACCTCAATGCTTTGGCGAGAAGAAAATATCAAGCATAGACGAACAGGAAGTTTCGTATCAGGCATTGACCTAAACAATGCTGATGGTAAGGGATCGTCTTCTCTAACAGATGATATGACAAAAGAGTATGGCCTGGCATTCATCAGGAACTCATCGAGAGACGAAGACAGAACTTCAAGCGGTTTCTCATGCATAATCATGTCCTGCAAATGCACACATTAATGGCCTGCTACAGTTATTCAATTGTGGGAGGGGAAGCAGGATGAGGAAATAAAGACTTACCCTTACATGACCATTGTTGCTTCCAATATACAACTTCAAACTCTCATAATTATGTAATTTCGAAAGGAAACCCTCTAGCCCAGCCCTGTAAACAGTCCAGAAGCTTTCAACAGAAAACGCCAAGTGAACTTTCTCTAGCTTTGGAACATTCCAAGAACTGAACTTGAAATCTAAGTTACATGCACCATAAACAGATAAGTTTAGTTCAAGTAAATTTGGAGTGTCGATTATAGCACCCGGAAAGCTACGGGAAAAATAAAAAAATAGTCTCCTGAGGCATGGGCTTGAGATCTTAATTTGGCCTTTTGCTTCACAATCATACAAGTGAAACAACTCCAAGCTTTCAATACAGAGAAGTTTAGGCAAAAGATAGTGAATAGGAAGATGATGAGCAGAGAAGTGAGCGTTAAAAAAAAACAAATGTTTGAGAGCAGTGCAAGTATCCACGGCAATGGCACATGGATGTTCTAAAGCATATTTGAATGTTTCAAGAACGGGTGCGAAGATTTCAATCCTCTTCAGCTCTGTAACACGGAAACCATGAATACAGAAATATTTTAACCTAGGGTTACTCGAAATAGAGATCAAACTTAAGCCGTACAGATCAATTAAATCCAGAAACTCCAACTTAGGGCATCCAGATAGAATCTTGTTCAACACATTCTCACCCACAATTTGGCACCAACAAAGTTTTAATCTCTGCAGATTTGATAGCTCAATGCAGGTAAACCTATCCTCAAACCTACATTTTGCAACCTCTAAAACCTTCAGTGAATGGGCAACAACAACTCTCTGTGGAATAGAATATAAAATCGGTCTACACAAGTATGTAAACTTAAGCACTAACTCGGAAACATTCCTCTCAATCGCAGCACCCATCCAGCGATCCATATTGGGAGCAAACTCTTCCAGACTACTATAAAAGGTAATATGTAACTGGAATTTCTGTATGCAAGCTTTTCGAAAGAGGCATTGCTCCAAGATCCCTTCAATATGATCCAGGAATGTGAGCAGAGCACGTCGATGAGAAGGTCTACGGGACGCACGAAACTCCAATGCAATGTTGGGGTAATTGCACCAAATGCGATTCCAGTTCTTAGACAACACGGAACAACGGACCACATCATTGAACGGAAGGATCGACAAAATGTGATGAATAACAGATTCAGGCAACCTCGAAAAGTAATCCAATTCCTCCTCCTCCTCGAATGTTCCGGTTTCGTTCATGGCTTAATCTGTTAGTGATGTACCTGGATTGGAGCCAGCACGGAGGAAGGCATAACCTTTGCAAATAAACCCTAATAGAGCTTAAGGAGTTAAGGACTTACAGAGTGTTTGGTTGGAGGGATTTTAAATTTCATTCCCACTTAATTCTCACATAATTCTAAGGGGGCGTTTGGTTCAGGTTATATAACATAACCAAGGGAATGTGACATTCCAAAGCTCACATTCCTATGTTTGGTTCACATTATCTCAGGGAATCTAACATTCCCCAGGAATGTCACATTCCCTCCACATAGGATTTTGAAGGGAATGTGATTCCCTTCAATTTCTAAGGTTATGTAAGATAACCTTGGTTATGTTAGTTTATCTCACACACACATATATAATATTTTTGTAATTATATATTTTTTATTTTTATTATGTTAGGTTAGCATATAAAATAATTTTGTTTCTCAAGTTCAATATTTTAGTTAATATTTTAAAATCATGTAACTATATATGATACCGTTATCTTATTTATTTATTTTAATTTTTAAATTTATTAAAATATATAAAAATATGTTAAGGATATTATAGTGTGTGAATAAAGATACCCTAAACCAAACATGATTATATTACATACCCCAATTTTAACCAAACACAGGAATCTAACATTCCCACTAATCTAACATTCCCAGCAATCTAACATTCCCTAAGGTAATTGACATTCCGTGAACCAAACGACCCCTAAAGGTTATTAAATTCTATAGTTTGGTTGGAGGGAATTGCAATTACCTTCCCCCATATGTTCCTCTGGTATTTTGATTCCTGAAATTTTAGGAAGAAAAAAAATACTGATGAGACAAAATTACCATTCTCTTTTTTTAACCTAAAATGAATATCTGATCTTTCCTTTTAACAACAATGGGCATTTTGGACTTTATACTACTTATTCCCTTTCAATTCTCATGTATACCAAACATTGAAATTGAAATTCCCAATAATTCCATTCCTGTCAACCAAACACTGGAATTTAAATTCTCATTTTATTCCCAGTAATTCAACTCCCATAGAATTACAATTCATTTTCAATATAATTTCCCCTACAACCAAACGCCCTTAAAAGGTAGAGAAGGAGACTGGAGAATTAGAGTACAGTTCAAAAAGGAGACAGGAGAATAAATGCAGACATCATTTGTAATTATAATTATAATTATATAATAATTTCAGATAATTGGAAGTGAAGAATGAGATTAATGGAAATTATGGTTATTAAGTGAACATGTTGGACCTGCTATTTTCATCTTTTAATTCTTTTATCACTCACAAAAATGGCCGATAAAATAAAATAAAGAGTTAATACTTAATTTAGTCATCGATTATTGTGGGTTTTTTCAACTTTTTCTTTTATATGCTTAATTAGGCCATCCAACTTTGATGGTCTTACCCAATTGAGTCATCTGTTAAGATAGCTTCGTAAGTTCACCTCTATTAATACACAATTTAATCCACAACTATAATAATTTTACCTAAGTTAGCTTTCAATTATTGTGATTTTATCCAATTTAGTCATCAATTATAGTGATTTTTTTCGATTTAGTCATTGATTCTAACAATTGAGAACTCAATTTAAAAATGTAAAATTCTATTAGAAATTTCTCTTAAAATCTCCAATAATTATTCAATGAACCATAAATAAAAAATACATTATTAATATACTAAAACTACACTATATGAAAATGCATTATTTGAACACTAAAAGCACATCACTTTATATACTATCAAATAATATACATTTAATATTTCAATATTACATTATATTCGTAGTTCATAAAGTTGTGTAAATCATGATTCCCTGAACAATTTGCCAAAAATCTCATTACCATATAATGAGATTAAAAAAGATTAATTTTAAAGATGTTACAGGTTTGAACTGATACCCACAAGAGCCACCTAACCCATATGAATGGACCCAAACACCATTTATGGGATCACTCCAATTTTCAATTTGAGAAGAGAATAGAGTAGCAAATTATGTAGCTAACTTGTCACTTCTCCATAACAGAGAAGCACCACCTCTCTTCTTTTGGTCAATTGTTTGAGCATGAGTTAGAACTCAGGATGTGCTCGCCAGGCATAATTGGTCAGGCAATTAACTTGGTATCTACAAAAATTCAAATTTTGATTTCAATGGGAGCAGAGCAACTTAATAACCTTTTTTGTTTGAATGGATCAGTTATGAACAACCTAAGTTGATTTATCTCATTAGCTAAGGTCATAAAGAGAGGTAGTTTAGCCCAGATCAGATAGGATTGCAAGTTCCTCTAGTCATTCCAAAATATATAAATCATCTACACAGTTTATTCTTAGGACCCATGAAGTTCCTCTAGTCATTCCAAAAAATATAAATCATCTACACATAAGTTTATTCTTAGGACCCATGATTATTGTTGCAGTGTGGTAACCGGTTGAATGGATGTTGATGAAGGATTTCCAGGCTGAGTCCATTTCATGCTCTATCTCCTGGGTTGAAACCAGCTCAAAAGTATTAAACCTCGATCGTAGTTGTTCAGCTTTGCTCAAGTTTTTATACAGCAACTGCAATTCAGGTAAACCAGTAAAAACAAACACTCAAGACATTATTATATATATTGCCCATAGACTGAACTGAAAGCTAGCTTGCAAAGAATATAATGCAATGTAATACCTCAATGCTTTGAGGAGAAGAACATATCAAGGATAGACAAACAGGGTGTACTAAAACACGCCTTGCCATATCCAATGCTGTTGGTAGGGATTCTTCTTCTCTAAAAGATGATATCACAAAAGAGTTTAGCCTGACATTTATCAGGAACTCATCGAGAGATGAAGACAGAACTGCAAGCGGTTTCTCATGTATAATCATGTTCTGCAAATGCACACATTAATGGCCTGCTGCAATTATTCAATTGTTGAAGGGGAAGCAAGATGAGGAAATAAAGACTTACCTGAACAAAACCATTCCTGCTTCCAATATACAACCTCAAACTCTCATAATTATGTAATTTCAAAAGGAAACCCTCTAGCCCAGCCCTGTAAACAGTCGAGAAGCTTTTAACAGAAAACCCCATGTGAACTTTCTCTAGCTTTGGAACATTCCAAGAACTGAACTTGAAATCTAAGTTACATGCACCTAAAACAGACATGTCTAGTTCAAGTAAATTTGGAGTGTCGATTATAGCACCAGGAAAGCTACGGGGAAAACAAAACTTTAGTCTCTTGAGGCATGGGCTTGAGATCTTAAATTGGCCTTGTGCTTTATATTCATGCAAGTGCAACAACCTCAAGCTTTCAATACAGAGAAGTTTGGGCAAAAGATAGTGAATAGGAAGATGATGAGCAGAGTAGTAAGCGTTATTAAAAAACAAATGTTTCAGAGCAGTGCAAGTTTCCAAGTCAATGGCACATGGATATTGTAAAGCATATTTGAATGTTTCAAGACTGGGTGAGAAGATTTCAATCCTCTTCAGCTCTTTATCACTGAAACCATGAATACAGAAATATTTTAACCTAGGGTTACACGAAATAGAGATCAAACTTAAGCCGCACAGATCAATTAAATCCAGAAACTCCAACTTAGGGCATCCAGATAGAATCTTGTTCAACACATTCTCACCCACAACTTGGCACGAACAAAGTTTTAATCTCTGCAGATTTGATAGCTCAATGCAGGTAAACCTATCATCAAACCTACATCCTTCAACCTCTAAAACCTTCAGTGAATGGGCAACAACAACTCTCTGTGGAATAGAATATAAAATCTCTGGATTACAGAACGGTCCCAAGTATGTAAACTGAAGCACTAGCTCGGAAACATTTCTCTCAATCGCAGCCCCCATCCAGCGATCCATATCGGGAGCAAACTCTTCCAGACTACTATAATAAGTGGCAAACTGCAATTTCTGTATGCAAGCTTTTCGAAAGAGGCATTGCTCCAAGACCACTTCAATATGATCCAGGAATGTGCGCTGAGAACGTGGACGAGAGGATCTTGGAGCACCAAACTCCTCCTCCTCGGGGGCACGAAATTCCAATGCAATGTTGGGGTAATTGCACCAAATGCGATTCCACTTCTTAGACAAGACGGAACAACGGACCACATCCTTGAACGGAATGATCGACAATATTTGATGATGAATAACAGATTCAGGCAACCTCGAAAAGTAATCCAACTCCTCCTCCTCAAATGTTCCGGTTTCATTCATGGTTTAATCTGTTAGACGGCTAATGCAACAATCAAACAATTTCTGGAAGAAAATACAAAGGAGTTAGTGGATTGGAGCCAGTATGGAGGAAGGCATAAACCCTAACCTACATTAAGCCTTAAGGTAGAGAAGGAGACGCGGAGAATTAGAGTACACTAGTACAGCTCAAAGGAGTCAAAGCCCATTAAAAACGTTGAATTTTTTATTTTTTTTTGAATACTATAAAAACGTTGAATTTATTTAATCTTTTTTTTTAAACAATCCCTTTTTCTTTTAATTAGTACTTTTCTCCCAAAGGATAAAGCTATCCTCATTCCACCCCTTTCAAGATGACGTAGGAGGTGATGTAAATTTTTATTTTTATTTTGTTAGCTTATGTGACTTGCATTGTAGATCCTAGTCCGTTTGTTATATAAAGCTATCCTCATCCCCAAAGGATAAAGCTATCCTTATTCCCGTTTGTTATAATAGCAAGTCTGCAATTGATTTTTTTTTCTACCATTTTTAAAAGTGAAAAATATTACAGGGGTGTGAAGCAAATAGTAAATAATTTACAAATTTAATGATGCAGGAGTGAGAGAATATTATCGGGATAAAAATAGCTTAAGAACATTTCCAACCCTTCTCCCTTTTCTCCCCAAATTCTGGACCTAACTCATCCACATCCACAAATTATACCATGGACTAGGGTTTACCTTGCATTGTAGATCCTAGTCCGAAAATAACTTCAGATTATATATTTATAGTTGACATTATTCGTTTACATGTTAACTGTAGGTACATAATGTGTTAATTGAAGGTACATAATTATATTTATAGTAGAGGCATGGACTTGAGATCTTAATTTGGCCTTTTCACAATAACAAACTTTCAATACTGAGAACCTTAGCCAAAAGATATTGAATAGGAGGAAGATGATGAGCAAAGAGGTAAGGTTAATTTAAATTCAAATGTTTCAGAGCAGTGAAACTAGCCAAGTCAATGGCACATGAATTTCGTGAAATATATTCAAATGTTTCAAGACTGGGTGCGAAAATTTCAATCTTCTTCAGCTCTGTACCACCACCATCAATACAGAAATATTTTAACCTAGGATTACATGAAATAGAGATAAAACTTCCGATGCCCCAACAATTTACTTCCAGAAACTCCAACTCAGGGCATCCAGATAGAATCTTGTTCAACACATTCTCAATTTCTCACCCGCAAAAAGTTTCAATTTCTGCAGATAATTTTCCAATAGATATTTCAAGATTGTCATTCCAATCTTCCCCTGAATTACCCATTCTGTTCCTTTTCTAGAAAGCCTCTTTTAAACATCGGACTATTATTGTCGCAGTCTGGTAACCAGTTGAATGCTTCTTCATGAAGGATTTCCATGCAGAGTCCATTTCATGCTCTATCTCTTCAGTAGGAACCAACTGGAAATCTCTAAATGCAAACGGCATAGGTTTCTCACTGCTCAGTTTTCTATACAGCAACTGCAATTCAGGTAAAGTGTAAAGCAAACCATCAGGACATTATATTGCAGCACACTAATGCGTATTGACTTAACTCAAGGCTGGCTGCAAATTTTATACACAAGGCCATGAAAACAAACACAATACCTCTATGCTTTGGCGAGAAGAAAATATCAATGATACACTAATGGGGTTATCAATAGGAAACAACATGTGACCAAATATATTTTCAACTCTCCTGGATGATATGACAATAAATTCTGGCGTTGCCTTCTTTAAGAAGGTATCAAGAGATGAAAAGGAAACGGCATGTAGTTTCTCAAGCACAATAAACTTCTCCAACTGAAAATAGAACATTAACTAATTGGTTATATACTAATAAGAACAACAACAATAACAGCAAAAAAGCTAGAAGCCAATAGCAAATAAAGGCTTCGTGGATTTATTTGAACTAAGCAGAATGAGAAAATGAAAATTTACCTGTTTACATGCAATAAGCAATTTCAAATTCTCATAGTTACGTAATTTCATAAGAAAACCTTTTAGTCCAGCCCTGCAAAGAGCCCGAAAGCTTTGAACAGAAAATGCCATGTGAATTTCTTCTACCATTGGAACATTCCAAGAACAGAACTTACTTCGAGAATTACATGCACCTGTAAAAGCAAAGTCTAGATGGAGTAAATTTGGAATGTCAATTTCAGCACCAGGAAAGTTGCTAAAATCAATGATGCGTAGTTTCTTGAGGCATGAACTCGAGATCTCAAATTTGTCAGCAACTCTACAGTTACCCAATTGCAATTCTTCAATATAGAGAAACTTAGACAAAAGATCCTGAATGGGAACATAATCAGCAGAGAGGTCAGCTCCATCCAATTCCAAATATTTCAGGACAACGCAACAAGCCAAGTCAATGGAACAAGGTTTCAGTAAACTGCATTTGAATGTTTCAAGACGGGGTGCAGAGACTTCAATCCTTGCAGGCTCTTTAACATGGAACAGGTTAAAATATTTCAACCGAGGTTTACTCAAAACAGAGAGACAATGTCCAACACCTTCACAAAACGAAACATCCAGAAACTCCAACTCAGGACAGCCACATAAAATCTCATTTAACAAATTCTCACCGAAGAATTTGCAGCAATTAAGTGTGAACTTCTGAAGATACGGAAGCTCAATGCAAGCATGGCAACCCTCAAACTTACATCTCTCAATCTCTAAAACCTTTAGCCAACCAGTAAAAACTCCCCGAGGAATAGAATAGAAACAGTATGGGCCATCACTTTCCACGCGGCAATGGAGTTTAATCACTAGCACAGAAACATTCCTCACAATTGCATCCCCCAATGCCCGATCCAAAAAGGGCACCAACTCCTCCAGAACAGGGAAACGGATAAGTAACCCCAATTTCTGTATGCAATCTTTTCGAAAAAGGCACTGGTGCATGATCCTTTCGAAAGTACACAGGAATTGATGGCGAGGACAATCGTACATCACGTGATCCAGCATCAAATCAACGTTAGGGTAATTGGACCAAAAACGATTCCAGGTCTTGGACAGCACAGAAGTACGGACGATACGCTCGAAGGGAAGGAATGACAGTATGTGATGAATAACAGATTCAGGCAACCTCGAAATATAATCCATGGATTCCTCATCGGTTTTATTCTTCTTCCCATCTGTCAATTCATCAATCAAACAACTCATGAAACAAGTTGCAGGAGCAGATTACCCGATCACTAATCAAATTGAAAGGAAACGTATAGTGAGTACAGTGGTATACCTGGCGCCATTTTGAACGAAGCCGAAAACCCTGAGGCAGCCCTAAGGAACGAGAGCCCAGAGGAGACGTTAAATTTATTATTATTATTTTTGAAATGAAACAAAAAATAAATAAATAAATAAATTTAACGAAAAGGTTAGTATTATTCATAATTAATTATTATAGGAAAAATGATTAAATAAACCCTTGAGCTATAGGTAAAAGTGCAATTAAGCTCTTCAATTAAAAAAAAAGAGGTAAAATTAGACCCTTCAACTTGTTATTTTGAATCAAATAAGCCTAATTATCGATAACCCAATGTTGCAAAAAACGTTAGGCGCCAAGGGGGCGCATAGCCGCCGATTTTTTATTTTTATTTTTTTAATTAAAAAAATTTTTAAAATTAAAAATTTTCAAAATTTAGTACTAAAACATAAGGTTTGCATAGTTATTTCTTAGAAACTATTTACAAAAGTGATTGTAAAATTGTTCAAAAGATTGTTTAACCCATCTAAATAAATAAAAAACTAAAATTAAGAGTTAAAGAAACATTTTTTTGAGAAAAAACTAGTAACATTAATATTATAATTATAATTAGAGAAAAGAGTCAAATAAGCCCCTGAACATTACTCAAAAAGTCAATTAGGCCCTTCAACTTTCAAAAGTTACAATTAAACCCACGAACATGTCATTTTGGAGCAATGAGACCCACAAACCTATTGGTGACATGATATTACAGGTCACTTAGGATTCCAACCCACTCCGATGATCGTACGATAAATTTCCGACAACAGTGTCAAATACGAACGACCATGAAAAGGGACACACAAAACTTTATGATTCTCTCATCTTCGAAATTGCATAATGAACCTATCTATCGCATGGAGAAAGTTCTAAACAACTGCCAAGAAACTCACCTGATAAATCCTCCGGCACGACGACACAACTCTTCCTTCTCCGTTAAACTCTGTTCATCCCATCTGGCAAAAATGTTAACAAATACAAATTCTCAAAAAATCAAAGATTCACCAAAATAAAAATAATAATAATAACACTCTGTATATTTAATCCCCCAAAAAATGCTGAGAGATTTATGAGATTTATTTGATATTTACCGTTTATGGTGTAATCCGAATGGAACTCATCGGTGCCGCTTTGTATATTCAACTATTTCTTCACCACTGCTTTGCTCCAAGAAGAAGACTGCAATAATGGCAAGAACCCATCTTTATACAACTATTTGTATACACTACAGATGCAAAACTAACCATCAAAGAAATAGAAGAACCCACCTTGGAAATCTAGCTTGCGTTTTTGTTTCATGGTGGCCAATGAAGCTGGAAAAACATACGTGCAAATAATTTCCAAGAAAGCAGGGGATCCCAAAAAGAAGAACAAATGGAATAATGATCTGAGGAGAAATAAAAATATAAAAATTCCCCTTCGTCGGAGCAGGCGACCATGGTCCAAACGAGACCGGCAAACATTTTCACGGTCGTCGGTATTTGACACCGTTGCCGGAAATTTATCGTACGATCATCGGAGGTTCGCTGGAATCTTAGGTGACCTGTAATATCAGGTCATCAATAGGATTGTGGGTCTTATTGCTTCAAAATGACATGTTAGTGGGTTTAATTGCAACTTTTAAAAGTTGGAGGGCCTAATTGACTTATTGGGTAATGTTTAGGGGCTTATTTGACCCTTTCCCCTTATAATTACTTAGCATTAATAAATTATTTGTGTTGCTGTCTTAATTCTGTTCTATCGATTAATGCATCAAGCAAATAATTCCTGAAAATAAAAATGATGAAACTGAGTTGGAGCCATTATGGAAACGCTACTTCGAGTAACGTTGTAAAGAATTCTCAAAAAATCTAAATTATTCCCAACAATATCTTTTCTTTCATATATTAGTGCACTTTCTTCTAGAACAACAATGCTAGAGCTTTTTTAATTCTTCCGCTTACAAAGAAAACAAGTCTCCAAAAAAAATCCTAAAACATACTTACTTCGGACGATGTAAGGTTTTTGGCCGATATAACACCAGAACTCAATGGCTTTCCATCACTGCTTCTCCATCAATTTCACCCCGTTGAATATTGCGTCTCCAAAATTTGTCTAGAAATGTCTACTATGATTGCACTAATTGGAAGTGAAGAATGAGATTAATTGAAATTATGGTTATTAAGCCAACATGTTGGACCTGTTATTTTCATCTTTTAATTCTTTTATCACTCACAAAAATGGTAAATAAGATAAAATAAAGAGTTAATACTCAATTTAGCCCTCGACGATTGTGGGTAACCCTCAACTATTTACAAGTTTGACTTTCAATGAACAGTTTTTGATTTTTTCTTGGTTTGAACCAGTCATCCTATTAAAGTCAAACATTCTGCTCCTTTCTACAAAGCCTCTTTCAAACAACATTCTGCTCCTTTCTACAAAGCCTCTTTCAAACAACATTCTGCTCCTTTCTACAAAGCCTCTTTCAAACAACATCTTCTAACCAAGTAACCAATTACGTCCACGGAGGATTATTGTCGCAGTCTGGTAACCAATTGAATGCATCTTCATGAAGGTTTTCCATGCAGAGTCCATTTCATGCTCTATCTCTTCAGTAGAAACCAACCGGATATCACTACATGCAAACTGCATAGTTTTGTCACTGCTCAGTTTTCTATACAGCATCTGCAATTCAGGTGAAGTGTAAAGCAAACCATCAGGACATTATATTGCAGCACACTAATGCGTATTGACTGAACTGAAGGCTGGCTGCATTCTTTATATACAAGGCCATGAAAACAAACACAATACCTCTATACTTTGGCGAGAAGAACATATCAATGATAGACTAATGGGGCTACTAATAGGATAACCCATGTGACCCGATAAATTTTCAACTCTCCTGGATGATATGAGAATAGATTCTGGCATTGCCCTCTTTAAGAAGGTATTGAGAGAAGAAAAGGAAACGGCATGTAGTTTCTCAAGCAAAATAAAGTTGTGCATCTGTAAATAGAAACATTAATTAATTGGTTATATACTAATAAGAACAACAACAATAACAACAATAAAGCTAGAAGGCAATAGCCAATAATGGCTTCGTGGATTTATTTGAACTATGCAGAATGAGAAAATGAAAATTTACCTGTAAACCTTTGCATTCAATAAGCAATTTCAAATTCTCATAGTATTGTAATTTCATAAGAAAACCTTTTAGTCCAGCCCTGCAAAGAGCCCGAAAGCTTTGAACAGAAAATCCCATGTGAATTTCTTCTACCTTTGGAACATTCCAAGAACTGAACTTACTTCGAGGATTACATGGACCTGTAACCGAGACGTCTAGATGGAGTAAATTTGGAATATCCATTTCAACACCAAGAAAGTTGATATAATCAGTGATGACTAGTTTCTTGAGGCATGAACTCGAGATCTCAATTTTGTCTGCAACTTTACAGTTACGCAATTGCAATTCTTCAATATAGAGAAGCTTAGACAAAAGATCTTGAATGTGAATGTAATCAGCAGAGAGGTCAGCTCCATCCAATTCCAAATATTTCAGGACAGTGCAACGAGCCAAGTCAATGGCACAAGGTATCAATGAACTGCATTTGAATGTTTCAAGACTCGGTGCAAAGACTTCAATCCTCGCGGGCTCTTTAAGATGAGCCACATTAAAATATTTCAACCGAGGTTTACTCAACACAGAGAGACAATGTCCAACACCTTCACAAAACGAAACATCCAGAAACTCCAACTCAGGACAGCCACATAAAATCTCATTTAACAAATTCTCACCGAAGAATTTGCAGCAATTAAGTGTGAACTTCTGAAGATACCGAAGCTCAATGCAAGCATGGCAACCCTCAAACTTACATCTCTCAATCTCTAAAACCTTTAGCGAACCAGTAAAAACTTCCTGAGGAATAGAATAGAAACCGTATGGGCCATCCACTCCCACGCGGCAATGGAGTTTAATCACTAGCTCAGAAACATTCCTCACAATTGCAGCCCCCAACAACCGATCCAAAAAGGGCACCAACTCTTCCAGACCAGGGAAATTGATACCTAACTTCAATTTCTGTATGCAATCTTTTCGAAAAAGGCACTGGTTCATGATCCTTTCGAAAATACCCAAGAATTGAGGGCGAGGACAATTGTACATCCCGAAATCCAACGCCAAATCAACGTTAGGGTAATTGGACCAAAGGCGATTCCATGTCTTGGACAGCACAGAAGTACGGACGATCTGCTGGAAGGGAAGGAAAGACAGTATGTGATGAATAACAGATTCAGGCAACCTCGAAATATAATCCATCGATTCCTTATCGGTTTTATTCGTCTTCCCATCTGTCAGAACAACCGATCAATTCAAGAATCAAACAACTAATGAAACAAGTTGCAGGAGCAGATTATCCGATCACTAATCAAATTGAAAGGAAACGTAAAGTGAGTACACTGGTATACCTGGCGCCATTGCGAACGAATCCGAAAACCTTCGGAATTAAACCCTGACGCAGCCCTAAGTACCAATTACCGAGCGAGAGGAGAATAACATTTTTATACCAAAAAATATTTAGTTTATTGGAGTAAATTTCACATTTAGCCTGAACTATTGTAACTATTGTAATATTGATACATTTGATCATATATATTTTTTAGTGTTAACTCTTTATATTCATAATTTTTTATTTGTTTGCTCTAATATATAATTTATTCCTCTTGTAAACTTTTTCTTAATAAAATGATATAATTTAAATCTTCAAATTTGCATAGTAAAATTAATAATAATTATAAAAATGTCACTATATTTTTTAAAAATCTGATCGAAGTCATCAAATTTTTACAATGTAAAGCTGAAATTTGTTTTTAGTTTTCTTCTAGTGGTGTATTCTCATGCAATCCGAAGCCTATATATATTATCAATGATTCTAGACTTATCATTTGAAGAAAATGGACTTGGGAATCACATCGAGAATATCAGGATAAAATTAGAGCGATATAGAGAATGGACCGGGATAGGAAGAGTTTTCAGCAAGATAAGTGTGTGAGGTCAACCAAATGTACTAATGTAGGGTTATGTAGCCCCCCACTTTGGTGGAATTATACATTGCAGATTTTTAGTTCATCATAGACATGGTACAATCAAAAACCATATTGATGCCCAGAATGAGTATGGATGGTTAAATGGTTTTGGCTTTCTACTTTGTATGCAAGGAAACCATAGAGATACTTCAAAAGAATCGAGGCAGAGGAATGGTGGGTGTGGTTAGGTATCTGATGAATTCTCAGAATTGCTCCACCAAAAACTAACTGAAAAACTTGTAGTGAGGGAGCGTACGTAGTGCCACCATTTCGGAGGGATGTAAAGCATCTCCCCTTCCTCTAAAACGCAGTCTTGAAACTCCAGGTCTGATATCTTTGGGAATTCGCTCTCGTCTATGTTGTCCAGATCCACCTTCAAACACATTTTGCAAGAGTTTTGGTGAGATAAAAATGAAGGGAATTATCTATCAATTGTGTGTCGAAGAAAGAAATGGACCGGGGAACATTTAGATGGTTAAGTCTTTTAGCCAGAATGTTATAATCTATCTATCTATCTAGTACAGACATACCTGGCTGGAGTTGCAAAGCATCGTCTCACTATGTGGGTAAAGCTCTTCCGAGAGTGTGGCAGGGTAAAGCCTAATATACTTTTTCCCAACCACCTGAAATTAAGAATGCATTTACCACTAATAAAATAACACATGAAATGCAACGCCACACATAGATTAGATAAATAGGAACTTTGTTTCTTGGTCAGAAACCCATTCTAGTTCTCAGAAAGTTGCATCAAACATAATCTCTTGAGCACTGAGCACTGTAACACACAAAACACTATGAAGGCTTCTTCAAGTCACACAAACCACATATACTTTTATAAAATAGGTGTAACTCAACTTATAGCTTTTTCACATAATATATCATTTCCAGAGTTTAACAAAAAATGGGTAGGATCATTCGTGTTGGTCGGGCCATATTTATTTACATATTCATACCTGAGCAAGTAAATTATGGTGAGGATCATGATGTAATGGTGTCACAGTGCCAGCTGGGCCAAACCAAGCATTAATTGACCTGATTTCCCCACCTCCAGCGTAACAGTAATCAGGGGTAAGAATGTCCTGTTTCAGCTCTTGGATCTGCCATTTAGGTAAGAGCGAAGCAATCAGCATCTCAACAATAGATGGCTACCCTATATGTTTAGAAAATTTTATACCTGATCAAATAGCTGATGCTGAGCTAAGTATGTAGTTTCAGCAGAAGTGCAATCACCGTTCCGAATCCTCTCTAGAAACTCGGAGAATGTGATCAGTTCTTGCTTCCATTCTGAGCACAAATAGTTCTTGCCAACCTTGAATATTATTTCCAGAACACCAACTTTAGATAATTAAAAACCATTCTTAGATCATAATATTGTTCATCTAGGACATGTACACTAAAAATGATTTAAGTACCTTCAATGATCAAGGTTGGAACTTTACACTAAAAGTTTAACAAGATAATAATTCACAGTAAATCTCATCTATGCATCAATCAGCCAGATTTTCTGTAAATCTGTAAATGAACATAATAATCGCTTGACTTAGAAATAAAAGTAAAAACGAACACAATCTTAATTACCTCAACTGGTACAGTGCGGAAGCCAGCAATACTACGTAGGTAGTTCAAATCATTCCACTTGCTCTTGGCTGGCCAGTGATCCATAGAATCTCTGATTACAACAGGAGAACCAGATAAAAGATGGTCTTGTAGAAAATTTTCGAAGGATAAAGCAGACTTTTTTCCCACTATCTTACTGGAGAGTGACTTTACAGGCAAAAGCCGCACTACCTGCAAATCCACTCCAAATGATCACTATAATTTTTCCAAAACAACTTCACACTGGAAAAGGTCAAAAGCAGAAAATCTAGGCTGAAAGTAGAAATTATTCACTTCAATCCCCATAGTAAAAGATACTGTAACTGGAGAAAGAAGATTAAAAATAGTAGTCTAGGGCAAATAATTCTTGAGATTAGTTCTAAATGTTTTGTGCTCTTGACACTGTTTAATGTTCCAAAGTTAATATTACTCATTATAGAACCATATATAAATATATTAGCTTACTATATATGTATAGACACATTTTACATTAAGTTGTTTGGTTACCGAATCTAATACTCAACTGGCAATTTAGGGCATAGTTTCGGTTCCTGATAAGAAAGAATGAGAAACAAGGAGAGAGGGAAAGAGACGAACCTCACCTCCTCTATGTTAAACTCTCCAGAAACTATTCTAATCGGTTGATCCTTTGCCAGAGAAGCTCCGAGAGCAATGCTAGCTTTTCTCGAGGCCTTCCGAATTGCGAGATTCAAGTCATCCCGGAGAGCCAATCCGCCCATGATGATACCCATGTCGAGAGCTCGAATCGCCTGGCATAAATCGCCGGCGGCGTAATGGAGCCTGGCGACGTGGAGGCACGCCATGGAGTAGGCGTCCCTCCAGATGGGAACAACCGAGTGCCAAGGGCCCGAGTGAAGCTGCTCCCAAGCCATCTCCCTCGCCGCCTCCGCCGCCCTCACATCGCCGCCCGCAGCTAGCGCTTCCATGCTGGCGTAAGCGTAGCCGCCTTCCTCCGTAATGCGCTGCAGCAGATTGGCCCGCTCCGCATCGAGCACCGGCGTATCGAGCACGTCGTTCTCGGCGGCGGCGGCGACGGCGACGGGGGCGGACATTGGTTGTAAAGCGTCACTAGCGGAGGTACTGTCTTCTGCCTCTAGAACTTTCCGTAGAGTGAAAGATATTATTGCGCGCTTGGGCCCATTTTATACGCCAAAAGTTAAATGAAATATCTAAGGTGGGCAAAAGATCAAGAAGATATTTATTTTTCTTCTTCTCCCACTATTTATTTTTCTTGTAATATAAAATCATGGCTCATAATTCATGGAAGGTGGACATCTTTTGACTTATTGTTGTGTTCTTGAATCCATAGTTACATTACATGTGTGGAGAATGTCACTATGTTCGAAAGTGACATTTTATTCAATTTTTGTTTATACATAGAAAGGAAATGCAAAATCACTGTATAGTATTCAGAGTCTAAGTTAAGTCAGTAGTATTACCAATATTAACAACAACAATAATCAAATTTGTTGAAAGAGTAGTTGGACAAGTGGGACGTATTCTTGTACTAAAAAATCATTAATTCAACTTTTATCAACATTATCTTAAGCGAGCATGTTGTACATGATTTTTATAGTATAATTTATCAAATTTAGTACACACTCAAAAGTAATGGTACTGAGAAGATTATATGAAAGTTTTGTCAAGTTCGAACAGTGCTTAAAAAGAAGTGTTTTAATGGCGGAAGAAATCAGAACTTCAACAAACGAAATAAATGGCCCCATGTTACCCCTAAAATATTGATATAGTGGATGAGTAATTCCATTTAAAACTCGCTTCTAGCGGCAGGACGGTTCCTTGGCTTCCTTCCACAAACATTCAAGGTTTGAGTTTTGGTTGAATACACTTATGAGCATAAATGTATAATTTAGTGTAAGACTCGAAACTAAATTAGCTCGATTTATCTCATTAAATTTGAAAAAAAATTATAGAGTTCAATTAAATGTCCCATGTTAGAAGTTGGAACCCAATTGAAGTGATTGAACTTCTGGTCTGATGGGTTTATTAGGAGTTGATGCATGTGTTCATGCCAACCTACAAAAAAGGTCTTATTGCAGCCCAAAATCAGCACCTTTGTATCTAGCTCAACTCAATCCTATGACCCATTGTTTAGCCCATAACTTTCCAATTGTTGTGGAATACTAGGTTGTATACTTTTGGGCCATTTGGATTTAGTTTGGGTTTTATTTTTGGATGATTTGGTGTGTATTTTATTTAACTATATTTTCATCCGTGCAATGCACGGAATGAATTTGTTAAAATATATTAAGAATATTTGGATCGATATGTTTATAATTATATAAATTATAACATCAAAATATTATATAGTGCAATTGAAGATATGATTTGGATCAATTATGTGCTAATATTATTACATTACATTTTTTTTAGAATAATTAATTACATTACTTGTGCTAATATAATTATACTTTGTCTTGATGACTTAATTGTAACTTCTCATAAAGGGGACAATATGTCCAAAGTTTCGTTGTAAAATTTTCGTGGATATATAAGTGTAGAAGAGTGATAAATTAGCTAATGAGATGTTCAAATTGAGCACATATGTCTATTAAGTGTTACGTTGATCTCTCCCTTCTTAGGAAAGTTCTTATTTTGAAAAAATTATATTTAATTTTCTTGCTAAACATTGAAACTTCATTTCACTTGTCACGCCATGAGATTCCCTTTACATCAGAGAGCTATTTTGTGGTGTGCTTAATGGTCTTAATTGGGCAGCTAGCACGCCATCACCACATATATTTTAGCTCTTAATTTATAATTAGTTGTGAAATAATCTAAGCATTTGATGTGATTAGAAAGTCTAATAATAAGTTAAAAAAAAAGAAGAAGAAGAAGAAGAAGAAGAAGAAAGTCTAATAATAAAACGTACACGTAAGAGATCGATTTGTAGTGTCGTGTTTATGCAAAGAATAACCAAATGCAATGTTGGATGTAGTAGTTGACAAGAAATTGGAGAGGAGATGGAATCAACTAGAGAAAGAAAATAAAAAATTGGAGTCATGGGCTAAAAACTAAATTGGGTGTTATTTACAACTTTGGTAAGAGTTGATTATAAATAAGAGCGATTAATTTTAGAGTTTCAATCAATATAATTCTAGGATTTGGTTTTTGGCATAGGTATTATTTGCTCGGATAAGTATCAACCATGAATGAAATCGATCTAATGGTGTTCTGATTTGATGTATAAGTAGTCACCTAAACTAATTAATTTTAGAGTTTATAAAATTGAGGATGACTCCTAAAAAAAAGTGAATAGTAGTGAATAATTTCATTTATATTAAGTTTATGGGATTGTTTAGGCCTAGGGTACGGATCAGTTATAATAACCAAGTATGGTTTATGGTTGTACATAATAATTTGACACGTACTTGTGCTAATAGTAACCAATACAATTAAATATATGATATGTATGAGTATATAGCTAGCGTATTTTCAGCTTTAATCAGTACTAACATGTGCCGCATAAAATCTCTAAATTTATAAAGATTGAGATGTAAAGTGGAAAAATGTAATGCAACCATACAAGGAGCTATGTAAAAACTCAAAGTAAGTAATCAACCAATACCACACATAATAAATATATCTACAAGCATATATATCATAATAATAGCTCATATATAACATATACAATATCATCATCATCTCAAGGGGGTGGGGTTGTGTCAGGATATGTGCTATAAAGATGTTTAGTGAGCAAAAGTGACAAAGAAAGATGGGCAGACAATAAAGAAAAGAGAGCATAATGATAGCCAACAAAATATTAGACCAAAAAAAAAAAAAAAAGACACCGCAAGCATGCTAGTTGGTCGAACCACTAGCCTACTAAGCATAACCACAATGGCTACTCCCCCATGTTGCCTGGTCCATCACCATGTCCATGCTAAAATGGGACCTGGTTTGATGATGATGGTGGTGATGATGATAAGGTGTCGGCGGCGAAGCCATGTTCTCCGGCGAGTTCGTGGCGGTGCCGCCACCGGAAGACACCGACTGCCGCATCCTCATGTGCACCACCTCCGCCTGCGCCATCGCCAATTGCGTTTGGAGCATGTCGATTTGTTGCTGCAACGATGATATCGCCCCTACACAGCCGTAAACTGGATCCCTCACCCTTGCATTTGCCTCGTACACCATCGAGCTCACGGCGTCGCCACGGTGATGCTCCGGTAACTCCTAAAGTGTCACAATATAAAACATATATAAATAAATAAACTGCACACAAAAAGTGATCGGAAATTTAAGACTTTCTATTAAAAATAACAATTTTTGACCATCTTTATGATCAGTTTGAAGATTTGAAAAATCTAACTAAAATTGGAGGCAATCCCAACCAGGCTGGTCCAATTGTTGACTTAGTAACCATAATGTTTCAAGTACAATTTTTGTGGTAGCCGTCTATTGACCTTTTTTGTTTGAGTCAGTTAATTGTGATCAACTTAGATTGATTTTGACTAAAACTTCAGTAGTACATACAATAGTTACCCATCATACAAAATAATACCTTTGGATCATCAACACTATTTGTCTAGATATGTAGCTAATTAGTTATAAGTGACAAGTCACGTCATTGTATTTTATGTTTTATATTTAGAATATATAAGACCAAATTACATTATACTATGGAGTATGTCTAAATTATGTAATGATGATGTCACAATGACACCAACTTAATTAACCTTGGTTTCAAAGGACAAAATTATTAAAGTAGAAATTAAACCAAAACCTTTCATGGAAATTTTTGTTTTTCCATTCTTTATATTTAAAGTGTGAACTCAACATCTATATCTTAAAAACCAAACACAAATACGTGCAACTTTTCCCAATTACTAAGGAATATAACCATTTTGTTGACTATATGCTTCATTTTGATTGGACTCACGATTGCTTCCCCTAGAAAAAAACAAGAGCTGAATGGTCTTAAAGATGGCAAGGCTTTATTTATTGTGTGGAATTGAATCTTAGCCCCCCTCTCCTTTATTTATTCTTTTCCAAAATTTGTGTTTTTTTTTTAGTCTTTTAGTAAGAATCCAAAGGATTCACCTTCTGCTTTTTAAAAAGACTATATATATATATATATATATATATATATATATATATATATATATATATATATATATATATATATATATAAAATAAATGTCTAGATTAAAACTTTGATTTACTGGAAGGTCCGCAGTCGTTATTAAAATGTGCATTATGGGTGGAGTCCGTAATTTACCGATTCTAAACTAAGAATGCCAATATACAACTCCCATGGAGAGTGAAACTTATAACCTTACTAGTGTCTAACTAACTTAGTTAGAGTTGCCCCGAATTTTATAAATAAACTAATAGAGTAACATATGTTAGGAGTGAAGTGAGTTTCTCAAATGGGATTCCATTAATATACAAGCACTTGAAAAATTACAGTATATAAAAATATGCTATGGGGTCGATCAATAAATACAAATGATATTGTGATACACCTTATTGTACCGAATACTATTGACACAGTGTTGATACAATTAAATATATTAAAAATAACGTATATAATTGTACTTGATACTATTAACACTATAAAAAATGACATGAAAAAAATATATAAAGTATGGTACTACAAGACAAGTTAGTAAATACAAGATTTAATGTAATTTTTTTTTAGTGAAATAGACTCAATCTTAAAAGTAATAGATTGGAGTACGAAGAAAGTATCATGCTATAGTGTACTAATAAAGAACATTCATAATTGGCTAACTTCAATAAAGGTTCACTTTGATATATTTTCAGGTTATTGGAGTGGGGCTTATGGACCGTTTATTTCAGTCGTAAAGTATGCATTAGACTCTAAATTGTGGATAATCTTTTTGGGTGACCGGAAACACCGAGGTGTGCACTGGGACCCGCAATAGAAAGACTCAATGTGATATGCAGAAACTTAACTAAGAGGGTTAAATAAAAATTTAATACGTGAATTTTAAGTATGAGAATCATATATTACATACTCTCGTCTACCTATTCGGAGACAACAATGGCATATTTTAACTCATAGAGATGTATAAATGATCTGTCTATAATTACATGTCTTAGTAATAATATCTCGGTTGAGTTAGAGTCTTACATTTGAGTGCTACTTCAAATATTAAATGCGAGCTTAGTGTTGTCCTTGAATTTTATGGCGAAAATTTTATTTGGTTTCTTGATAATATATTGTATCCATAAATTTTGTAAATAATTGATTAGTTGTAAGTTTTTATTTACAAATTATATTTTTTGAAAAAGATTTATAAATTATATAAATAAATATTGATATGATCATTTTGATTAAAAAATAATAATAATAATTAGGCACATCAATCTTGGACACAAATTATGTTTTGCTCTACAAAACGACTAAAAAGTTCAAATCAACTAATCAAGTAATGTTGGCATGTACTGTTAATCTATAGTGAATAACTGCTTGTATAGTAGGCTTATATTATAGAGGTACTAGCTACTTGTAAATATGGACTATATGCATAATGTTTATGCATGAGAAATTTTACAATGCCATTATAGTTATAATATCATGTGCTTTAATTTGTCATAGGGGGAATACAACTTGTAATGTCAAATGAATATAATATAATAACTTCCCTAAGTATATACACTACTTTAAAATTTTCTCATATTATCTATACAGAAATTCTAAAGTACTGACACCCGGTATATCAATAATACCCAGTACTATAGATGATTGTACTGAATACTATTAGAACCCAACCATTTCCAGTAATACTCAATACAATACAATTGTATCGAGTATTGTCGATATAGGTGTGGACCAGCATGATATACATAGAGATCAGATCAAAAGTGTAAAACCATTGAAAACATAAAAAGTAAGGGGCATATAATATATAATTACCTGCAGCATCTTGTTGACATTGCTAGCACCAAAAACCTTATGCACACTGGCAAACTTCTGGGGCTCATCAGCAGGGAAATAAGGTGCAAAAACACAGTCTTGGGCACATCTCCTCCTCAGCAGCTTGCAAGCAGCACAAGGGGAAGTTGCACCTTGTTTCCTGCCACTTTCCTTCATCATATATATCTATAACTGCACCTATATATATATATATACACTTAACTCTCAATTCAACTAACTTTAAACTTGTTCAGATCAGTCAATAACAACAACATAAACAGCATCCTCTTTCATAGTACATACACTACATACATAGTATGCATGTATGTATATATAACTACCTCAAAAGTCTGCAGACAATGCTGTTAACTGTCACAAAAGGACAGCAGATGAGGGAGTGTGTTGGTTTAGCTTTAAGTGAACAGTATATATTTAATAAGAGAATAATATATATATAAAACAAAGAGTAAAGGGTGTATGTGAGAGCTAGGAAAAATGGGGAGAGGTGAAATGAGGTTGGTTGGGTGTTATATAGAGAAAAAGTAGCTAGCGGGGGGGGGGGGGGGGGGGGGGGGTGGGCATGAAATCTTTGTGGGTCATACAAAAGAAGAATGCTTTAGATTTTGCTGCCAAAAAAATCCATTTCAATTAGATTTTTTTTGTCTTTGGGTCCCCTATTTTATCTTAGATTTGTTCACTCCCCCAAGTAATTGTTTACATTCCTCCCCTTCCCACATTTATATTACATTGTTTTTCCCTTTTTAAGGGAATCTACTTACTAATACACAAGCTAAGTTATTAATATTACATTGTTTTTCCCTTTTAAGGGAATCTACTTACAAATACACAAGCTAAGTTATTAAAAATGTTAGGAAGAAACCAATTAATAACCTCTAAAAGTAGATCATATATTATAAAAATATTAGAATTTGAAGTGTATATTTAACAAAATACTAAAAATTCCTACCAGTTAGATTATGTCACGTCAAAAACAATGATTGGAGGAGAAATTTAAGAGGTTTGTAACATTACTTATAGGCCGGTTACATTGATGGTTGTTGAGCGGTGAAAGAGTCGAGTCCAGCATTCTACTATCGAGACGTGGCATTGATTGTTAAGAAAGTATAATAAGTAAATTTGCGTATTCGCTACAAGCTATATCTTATAGTGTAGTGATAAGCATTTGATCATGAAAATTATGGTATGACAGCATATCACGAATTTGAATCCCATTGAGACTAACAAGTGTTGGGAGAAAGACATGTTGAATCTGAAATATTTTTTTTTAAAGTCTTTTTTTTTTTTTTTTTTTTTTTTAAACATTTCTTCTCATATTTAAACTCTATGCTTAATCGAAATTATTAATTTCATCATTCCCATTTGTTTAAGTTTCTCCTTTGACAAAGATAATTTTTGATAAATTAATTAATAATTTTTATTACCTAATATTGAAATGTTGGGTGCATGCACCACTCTTAAGTAAGTTCTTATGAATGTCAAAAGTCATTTCATGTTCTTATCTTTTTATTTGTTGAATGTTAACAAAACAAGTTATTTTTTGTGTGATAGCATATTTTTTTATTCTTGAGTAGTATTGACTCTGTTACAATGTAATATCAGTATATATTTTTGACACAAAGAGTTAATGTTCCTACTAGAGTTCGATGTAACATCTGTCCATACATACTTTTGACACAAAGAGTTAATGCCCCCATTAGGATTTGAACCTGTGACCTCCCATTTGAAGAACTACAACACGAGCATATATAATAAGACAAAGTTGATATCGCTTCAATAATAAAAATAATAAAATAATATATTACAATTGAATGAAGGTTGTCGATATATAATAAATGTTGAGAGAAAACCATGGGTAGTCTATTCATCCACTATGGTCGATGCTTGCAACGTTTGGGTGGGGGTTTAGAAGTCTATGAACTGGCAAACACAAAGAATATATCTTCAGTACGTGTGCAGATCAATAATAATTTTGAGAGGATAATGACAAATTAATTCATAATGGGATTATAAACTTGCTTAATTAGGTGTTGAAAAAAGTGGTAGCATTTATTTCAATGTTGAAAATTGTTTATTTTTTAATACGACACTTCCGAAAAATGCAATAAAAATAATAAATATAGATGTATGTTCAATTACATTATATAACAATTAATTATCTCAATTAAGTATAAAAACTATTAGGATAAAACAAAAGCAATAGTTAGTAGTAAAGATTGAATTTTATTTAATTTCCTTATAATCGTGTAGCAACCAATGCTCCATTTTGATAGTAAGATGTTTGATTTGGTCCTCCAATTATTATTTTTTTCAAACCATGAAAAATAGCTAACTTATGCTCTGAAAACGATGATCAAGTGGGTAGAACATAATTCTCGTAACCTATCATTAGATCTTCCTAGTACATATTATCTTTTTTTTTTTTTTTTTTTTTTTTTTTTTTTTTTTTGTGGTTTGCCAACTATTATCCTGAAGTGAGGTTTTCAGTATAATAATGTTTTAAGAAATCAGCTAATTAATGTTAAAATTGGTTGCTCAAAAGGAGTTGGACATTGAAATAGAAAATGGAGTACATTATTAGTACATATTATTCGAATTATTATTACTTTTTTTTTTCTTTTAGGGGAAAAAAAAAAAAAGAAGAAATGAAGTATTCCAACCCCATAGTTGAAGTTTATATGACTTTAGTCCCCAAACATTCTTGAGATACCCAAAAGGGGTAGTCTTACTTTAATTAGGTCATTTTGAGGGGTCTAAATTATAATTATGTTAATATCAGGTGCAAAAAGCAGGAGTACCAACTCTTTGATTTTTCAATTTTCCCTTCCAAAATCAAAACTAATGATTTTGTCTGTTGAAAAGAATAGGTCAGACATTTGGGCAAATATATACAAAGTCATGACTATGTATAGCTAGGAATTTTGTTTCATAAATAGTTAGTAATATATTCTTTCTAGTACCAATTATTAGGATCAAACGCTTACCAGTATACTAAAAATGATAGTTAGTAATAAATGTGTAATTTTATTTCTTTATATTTATGTAACAACGTTCCAGTTCAACTGAACTAAGCTCTCTAGGCCGTCGTTCAATACAGTTGGTGGGATACCGAATGGCATATACATATAAAATAAAAAATAAAAAATCAACTAGATAGTTAATTAGTTAGATTCAATTTTTTTAGTCTTGATTTAGCCCAAATGCATTATTGTGACCTAATTTCTTTTTGAATTAGACAGGACTCCTGCAAGATAGTGCTGCATAGACCCATTTTTTCATCAAAATTTATATCATATGATACGACTTTAATTTACATAATTAATTTGTTACAGGGTTGGACAACTCGCATTTAGACAATAAATATAAAACAATTGTGACACATATCACATATCACAACATTAAATAAATTACTTGGTAACAAATTTTTTGTCTAAATGGTATTTTTCTTTTTTAATTGGTCAGTATAATTAGGATATCGCAATATGCATCTATAGCCGGCTATATTCATAGATATGGATGGTAGTGATAAGAAGTTTCAAATATCTTAATTTATGTTAACATTACATGCATGGATGATAATGTAGACTTATAGTGGATCCAATATTGTCATAATATCAACTCAATAATATATATATATATATATATATATATATATATATATATATATATATATATATATATATGATCACATGTAAACATTGCACTCACACAAATCGCAAATAATTAAAGATTGCCCTCACACCTAACTCATTAGGGTGGTTGCCATGCCCCCATCATGCAGCAAGCCAATTGGAGTAGATAATGCCTCTTGCATGAGAATACTGGATTTACAATTCTCAACACAACAATTATATTATAATTTTAGGGTCCGTTTGGAAAGCAGGAAAATGACTTCTGGAAAATGTTTTCTGGAAAATGAGTCATTTTCCAGAAAACATTTTCCTTTCCAGTGTTTGGTTGTATTCTGGAAAACTGTTTTTGTGTGTTTGGTTCATTTTCTGGAAAATGAGTAGAATTGTATAATTAAACATTTTAATTATTTTATTTAGAATATTACAACATATATAATAATATATAATAATAATAATAATTTTAAATATAATAAAAAAAACTAATAATATATCAAAAATATTATGGTGGTGGTAGTGGTGTTATTTGTTATATAATAATAATAATAATAATAATAATAATAATAATAATAATAATAATAATAATAACTGGTGGTAGTGGTGGTGGTGGTGGTGGTGTGGTGACGGTGGTTGTAGTGGTATGGTGGTGGTGGTGGCGGCGACGGTGGTTGCGGTGGTATGGTCGTGGTGGTGGCGGCGGTGGTGTGATGTTGGTGGTGGTTGCGGTGGTATGATGGTGGTGGTGGTATGGTGGTGGTTGTGGCGGCGACGGTGGTTGCGGTGGTATGGTGGTGGTGGCGGCGACGGTGGTTGCGGTGGTATAGTGGTAGTGGTGGTGGCGGCGACGGTGGTATGGTGGTGGTGGTGGTGGCGGCGACGGTGGTATGGTGGTGGTGGTGGTGGCAGCGGTGGTATGGTCGTGGTGGTGGCGGTGGTGGTGTGATCTGGTGGTGGTGGTTGCGGTGGTATGGTGGTGGTGGCGGCAGCGGTGGCACGGTGGTGGTGGTGGTGGCGGCGACGGTGGTATGGTAGTGGTGGTGGTGGCAGCGGTGGTATGGTCGTGGTGGTGGCGGTGGTGGTGTGATCTGGTGGTGGTGGTTGCGGTGGTATGGTGGTGGTGGCGGCAGCGGTGGGGTGGTGGTGGTGGCGGCGACGGTGGTTGCGGTGGTATGGTGGTGGCGGCGGCGGTTGTAGTGGTGGTGGTGGCGGCGACGGTGGTTGCGGTGGTATGGTGGTGGTGGTGGTGGTGGTGGTGGTGGTATGGTGTTGATGATGTTGGTGATGGTGTGATGTTGGTGTAAAAGTTGGAAAATGACTTCCCCCCAAAAAAAGGGGAAGTCATTTTCCTCCAAAACAAGCCTATTTTCCAAAGTCAACGGAAAATGATTTCCGTTGACTTGATTTTCCAGGCACATCCAAACAGTGAAAACTTGGAAAATGATTTCCAGAACTCATTTTCCAGGTTTCCAAACACACCCTTAACTCTTTTTGTTCAATTTAACACAAATTTAATTTTCCTTTAACCTTACACACATACTTAGATTTAGTTTCTATCAGCCTATTCATGGACAAATGCTCTTTTGGCTCAATTCAAACACAATTCCTATAGCCTTTTGATCATGGACACTTAAACTTGCCTAAATTCGGATGCATGAATCATTGCTCTTTTGGTTGAATTCTAACACAACTTTGATTGTTCTTTGACCTTGGACACTCAGGCTTAGTTTTCATAAGGTTAAATAACTCAAATTCATGAACTATTATCTCAATAATATTGTTGATAGGTTAGACATAAGATCGACGTGCTGAACATAATTAAAAATACATAAACTGAATGG